AAAAAGAGAGAGAGAGGGCGTCATATACTGATAACATGGATGCACAGTGCTTTAGTAATATGAAAAAGGGGAAGAAAAAAGGGATGCAGCCACGTAAAGGGTAAAGATCTTCCAGCCAATGAGAAATGATACAAGTGACAGAAACAGAAAAAACGATTGTTTATTGTTTAAAGTAGACTCCTTTAAGTATTTCTAAAATAACCTGTCGCACAATGTCATTTAGTACTTGTGTGTCCAAGGTCGAGGGAATATAAGCCAAGACAAAATTACAAAAAAGTGCTGAGTATATAAAGAAACATTTAGACATGTCACAAAAATGTAACAATGGTAATGTATCTTTACAACGTGGCAAACTTAAATTGTTGAATAAATCAGTTGCTAGGATGTACGCATTATATAATTTCTTTATACTTTAAATGCACGTAAATAATTAAAGCGGAACACCATGACAACAAGGATAGCAACTAAGGATATTAATAAAAAAAGGGCTTATTAATGAATAAATAATGAAAAAGTATTATATGTCGTGTCATCTTAAAAGACTTGTACTACAAAAAATGACTCTGTGGTAATCTAAACCCGTTATTGGTGCCATTCCTTCCAGGATTATAAATGAAATAAACTTGTTATTTTTGCTTTCTTTCCCCTTTCTACTATTCCTACCTTAAACCTCCCTCTTTATTTTCTACTTCTTTTTTAATTATCAATATTAATATCTTATTATATATTTATATATATAGTTTACGTTCTTTATATTCTATATAAGCTATAAACAACAACCAAAAAAAAAAAAAAAGACATTCAACCTATTCGACTGACAGTTACTGTTGGAATAAGTCTGAACCTCTTTTTTATACCCTACTTTATATATTATGGATATCCGAAATTTATTAAACGAATCTGAAAACACTACAAAACCCTTTGCTTGCGCTTGGCAAGACTGCAGGAAAAGGTTCTCACGAAAGTCAGATCTTTCAAGGCATATGAGGATTCATACTGGAGAGAGACCTTATCACTGTGAGTGGCCATCATGTGGAAAGCAGTTTATTCAAAGATCAGCCCTGACAGTACATTATCGAACTCATACTGGTGAACGGCCTCATGTCTGTGGATACGCTCTCTGTGGCAAGGCATTTAGTGATGTAAATTATAAAAATTTTCAAATATAATAATTTTTAATTTATAACCTTTTCTTTATTTGTCATAGTCATCTTCATTAGCCAGACACCGACGCACTCACACTGGTAAACGCCCTTATGCTTGTCTTCATCCTGGATGTGGCAAATCCTTTACTCGTAAAACAACTTTATCCAGACATCAACGTTGTCATGATCCGAAATGGAAATCATACAAGTAAGAAGGAAAGAAGTAGGAAAAAGCGTTTTGACTAATTATCTTTTTAGTTTGAAAGAATTGAATAGAGTTCAACCGAAATCTTTGTCGATCACTGCCTCGAATGATACGTCTGATCCACTTTCTCAAACTTCAGTTGAATCACCCACCAGCAGCTCTGAGTCAGAACTTGATTCCCCAGTAACTGCACCATCTGATTATTTTAGTATGCAGCAACAGCCATTAAGTGCGTTCACAACCAATCGCTCCTTTCACCCAATGATTGAATTACCTCAAAAGTCATCAAAAAACACATATACATATCGTATTCTGGACTATGACTCTTTCAGTAGCCCAACTGTTACTTATCAATCATCATTCATTCACCAAAGAACTCGAGTGCAATATTACAATGTGTCTTGATTCAACCATCACTTTTCTTCATATGCTCTTTTCTTTCTATTTCTTTTCTTTTATTTTTTTTCTAAATTATTTAACAGCCTTTATGCCCCTCCACCTTATGCTTGCTATTTAACTTTTTTATATGTATTTTTTCTTTTCTTTTTTTATTCTTCTTTTATTATCTATTATTATGCTTTTTTACTTAATAAAGACTATATTCTATGCTTAGACTAGAAAAATTAAACCCTTGCTTTTTCTTGAAAAATAGTCCCTTGATATGGATTGTCTTTTGCATAAAAAGACAAGATGCGTCACTTTACTATTTCTTTATCTGATCTCTTTCTCTCTCTGTCTGACAGCTTGTGCAAACATCAGAATTTCCCGACCAGCGTTTGTTGACATTTCATTGGTTCGTGCCAGTTGTCTTTCTCAATGTTTAGTTTATGTAGCGCTTCTCCTTTGTTTAACCTAACAAAAGGGCAAAACAAAAAAATTGACCGCTCTCCTCTCTTTCGGTCCGGTAATTGTAAATGCCGTATCTCGGCAACTTCATATGTACAATTAGCCTATTGTTGCCTTCATCCATTGATATAACAATAGCTTTGACAAGCGAATCCACTACACATAAAGGCAGTTCCATCTTGTTAGTTTGAATTGTGGGCTTATCTGGGCATATATTCCATCATCATTGCTCATTCTTTCTTTCACCTTCTCTAAACTCAGATTTGTGTAACATCGGTGCTCATGTCATTTACACTTCTTGCGCGTTGTTTGGTTTCTTTTTCTTTTTTTCTTTTTATTTTTAAAAGACTATGGCACCACCTCCTTCAGCTCCCTTGCAAGTGCGTATATTGGCACTTATGAAGGCAAGTATACAATAAAGTGTGTACATACGGGTGGAATGTTGATCCACATTAGACACTTCAATTTGCTTGGTTCTTTGGTCATGTTTCAACCATTTTGGGCACTGCATTATACGCCTTTTCTGTGCTCACCTTCAACTCCAAACCTTTCTTTTATAAATACGCTTTCTTTGGCGCTGTACTGTCTTATGGTGTAGTCATCTACAAATCTCATGGGGTAAGTTGTCATTTTCATACAAGGATGAGATCGAGATAGGATTAACCTACGTTAAAGACACCTCAACCAAGTGGAGAATATATGCGAAAATTAGTCATGGATGAAAATGCGCAATACTTTATTCTTGCATTGTATTGGTTTATGAGCAACCCTATTTCTGGTAAGAATAAGAATAAAAAAAACTATGCACAGCCATCGTTAAAAGCTTACTCTTTTATAGTCACATTGGTTCCTTTCTTTACATTTTCTGCCTTCCATGCTCTTGGATACGTTCGTAACAATATCATTCCTAATGTATTTCCCACCGCGGCAAGAACCAATGGAGATGCCCCAGCTACTTGGCAAGCTAAAGCTCAGCAGGGAATTAAGACTTGGACAGACAAGTACTACAGTACTGCTATGCGTTTTGTTGCTCATTCAGAAGTAACCATCATTGCTCCTCGTTTAATTTTGGGATTATTCCGGTAAGTAAAAAAAGGAGAAAGAAGCAAAGGCAGCATGATCTAAAAAGAGCAACACCTTGTAGCTTAAATTTTGTTCCTCTGTTCTTGTTTGCTCAATTCCTTCGTTTCCGCTACCATTTGTCTTCCTACACTCGCCAAGCTTTTACAGAGCTTCGTATCAAGTGTGATAAGTTACTGCTTCCTCCTAATGCTGACCCTCGTATTCCTCCAGGCATCACAAATGCTTATAACTTGGTCAAGCATTGGATCACACGATTTGGTGAAGCTGGTGTTCAACGTCAGCCTGCCGCAGCTCAATAGATAATAATAATAAAGAAAAGATAAATTTCCAAGCACTTTGCGTGCATATGTATAAAAAAAGGTTATCTCTTTTTTTTATTGTTATTGAAAAGTTATGTACAAGAATAGAATGATTTAAGCAAAGTTCTTTGCATTTTCATGGACCCATTCGGCCACAGTCTGGTGATCTCTTTCAATCCATTTAGTATTCACACGAGCAGTTTCCAAGGCTTGCTGCAGTGAACGTGCATATTCCTTTGTCTCCTTGTCAGCAAAAAAGGCTTCGACATCAGCAATACGCTCATAAGAAACGAAGCCACCGACAGTAGAACGAACGGCAGAACCGAATAAGCTGAGAGATTTAGAGAACTTAGCATAGAGAAGATCATAGTTTTGCTTGAAGAAGTTCCAGAGAATTTCACGAGCCTCAGGGTTAGAAGAGAGTGCACCAAAGACATAGAATTGGTCTTGACCTCTGACTTCCTTTTCATCCAAACTCATATCGAGATATCTTTGAATAAGTCCCTTGTGCTTGGTACCACCAAGTGCGCTTAAGGCGGTCAAGCGTTGGTCAGTAGGCAAGGATTCGTCACGGTAAATCTTCAGGATGTGTTCCCAGACCTTTTCTTCTTCTTCTTCGCTTTCGGCGGTGTAAAGGACAATGTCATAAACAGGAGCACGAAGGTTTGGATGAAGTACCTCGGTATTGCCTTCAACAAATTGCCAGAAACGTCTCTTGGCTTCTTCAGCTGTTTGGGCATCGTTGGAGCGTCCAGCGTTAGTGATGGCAAGAACACGCAAGACACTGATAAGGTAGTCTTCCTTCTCATGGAATTCCCAGCCAAGTCTGTGGGCTACAGGAGCAAACAAGCTACGACGAAGAGCCTTGAGTCCATCTTTAATCTCTTTGGGTTGTTCACTCCAGACAGAAAGAATCTTGGAAAGATGGCTACTTAATTGTGACCAGACACTATCAAAAAGAATAAATAAATGCACACGTCAAATTATGCATTATGCTACTTACAAGTAATTTTCTTCATTTACAAAGGCTTGAGCGAGTTCCAAGAAGGCAGTAGTGCTTTGCAGACCACTGACGCACAAGTTGCCGGCATCAGAGAGTAAGCCGACACGATCAGCTGTGTTTGTCAAAAGTCCGTTGGATCCCTTCTTGACTTCTTCACTTAACTTGCGAATTACTTCAATAGGGTAATTGACACGGTAAACACCGGTCTGACCAGCGTTCAACTTGAATAATCCATTGGATGGGATAGTGAAGTCTTGAGACTTTTCTGTCAAGGTAAAGGATTCAACCTTGCCAGGAACAAGGACACCAAGAGGTACCCACCAAGCAGTTGTGTCTTCTTCTTCGGTTAAGTCTCCGGTAGACAAGTAACGGGATTGGGTGACATTGATAACACCCTCGCCCTTCTCCTTGACAGTAAGAACTGGATATCCAATGCGCTTGGTCCATAATGTCATGAATTGAGATACATCTTGGTTAGCTTCTTCGCTCAAAGCAGCCCACAAGTCACCTGTGGAAGCATTACCCAGTTTGTGACGACGAAGGTAGCGTCTGACACCAGCCAAGAAGGTATCAATACCTAACCAGGAGCTCAACATACGAATGACACTAGCACCTTTGTAGTAGGAAATGGCATCAAAGATTTGGTGGATTTCAGCGGGATCATTGACAGCGACTTCAATGGGATGAGATGAGCGAAGAGCGTCCAAACTGAGAGCTCTGGGCATATCATTGTTTACAAAAGAAGTCCAAACCTCCCATTCAGGGAAGATTTCATCGACAGCTAACCAGCCAACCCAGGTAGCAAAACCTTCATTCAACCATAAGTGATCCCACCATTCCATGGTGACCAGGTTACCGAACCATTGATGTGCTAATTCGTGGCAGACGGTGTAGGCAGTGCTCTTCTTGAAAGAAATAGAAGATGATTTTTCATCAAAGAGCAGTGCAACAGTTCTGTAAGTGATTAAACCCCAATTCTCCATGGCGCCTATTGTTTTGTTTTTAATACATCTTTTCATATATATTAACCATACAAGGCAGCTTACCAGCTTCGAAATCAGGGATGGCAATCATGTCCACCTTGGATAATGGGTAGGGTTCACCAAACACCTTGGCAAAGTATTCGAGAGCAAGGGTACAGACGTTCAATGCGTGACGACCCTGTTCAACAGATCCAGGCAAGGTGTAAACACGAGAACGGATGGGACGACCGTTATGTTCGCCACTTGTATATGCTTCAATGTATTCAAAAGGGCCAATACAGAAAGCCAAGAGATAAGTACTCATAAGAGGAGTGGTAGCATATTTGACTTGCTTCAAGGAAAGAGTAGTAGATTCGGTTTTTCCTTCTACCTTGCCAGTTTCAGTCTTGCCTTCTACTTTACCTTGGGTTTTGCCGTGCAAACTGTCTTTATCGTCAAAAGCTTCTTCAGAAATTACGTCCATGTTGGAGAGAGCGACGAGGTGAGAAGGTACGATCAAGGTAACGTCAAAGGTAGCCTTCAAGCTAGGCTCATCCCAACAAGGGAGAGCTCGACGAGCATCAGTAGATTCAAATTGAGTGGTAGCCAAGTAACGAGTGTTTCCATCGGCATCTTTGTAGGATGATCTGTAGAAACCGGCCATTTGATCATTCAGTTCACCTTCATAGTGGACTTCTAGAACAGCTTTTGAACCAGCAGGGACGGAATCTTGAAATGTCAAGAAAGCCAAATCTTTCTTTTCATCATAAGAGATATCAATAGCAGCTTGTCTGTGATATATAAGGTCAGCATAGGACTTTTTTTTCTAGTATATGGTGGCACTTACTTTGACTCGGTTTTAAGACCTTCAGTAGACAAGAAAGCAAACTTTATCTTGATATCACGCGTATTAAGCGTAACCTTGGTTGTATCTTGATTAACATTCAAGCTATGAAACAAATATGAATCGTTAGCACATATCACAAACACTTTTTTTATAGATAACTCACTTGACTTTAACGACACCGTGGAATTCAAAAGTGGTCAGATTAGGCTGAAGGGTCAAATCATAGTGAGTAGGCTTGACATTGGTAGGTAAGACCTGCCTCTCTGGGTTATCAACAGAAGGAGTACACATGAAAAAGAATAAAATAAAAAAGAAAAGAAGAAAGCGTGGAAAAATGGTCATAGCTTGAAACAAAAGCACTTTAAATAAGCAGCAACGATTTTAAATAGCGAATCCCAAATGAGGAATAAGAAGCAAAAAAGGAAATTGACATTAGCGGAAATTGGTAACACGCAAACTTTATCTCATTTCCTGACAAAATGTATAAAGAGAAAAAAAAGAAGAGAAGAAAGAATAAAAGTAGAGAAAAGATGCATTAAGATGACTGAAATACAAGTCTGAAGACTAGATAGTGATGCATGAGTTAAAAATGTACCAATTAGCTCTAAAGATGTTCAAGAAGTTTTTGTTACTTTCCGAAAAGTCGGTCAGATTTTTACTTGATGCCGCTTTCGTAAGTTTTCACCAAATTTGTATAGTCAATGCGATGTTTTAATGAGACACATGAATAGCCCTGATTGAAGCAAATGCCCCTGATCAAATGATGCCACGTATTCTTTCCCGAGCCAAGGCTTTCTTACCATTATGTGTACCCATCTTAATGTTAGTCACTTGCTAAATGCTGTGCCTGACTGAAAACAAGTCGTGTATATTAGCTCAAGGATGTATTGATACAAAATTATTTAAATATTTTTTATTAAACACTGCAAAAGAAAGAAAAGAAAAAAGAAACGTTTGTTTATGATCTATTTGCTAAGTCGAATTTGGCCATGCGTTCTTCAAGTTCAGGACGGAAATGACGAATCAAACCTTGTACTGGCCATGCAGCAGCATCACCAAGGGCGCAAATGGTATGTCCTTCGATTTGCTTGGTCAATTCCCAGATTTGGTCAATTTCTTCTTTATGGCCACGTCCATCTTCGAAACGGTCCATCATGGCTTCAAGCCATCTAGTACCTTCACGACAGGGTGTACATTGACCGCATGATTCATGTCGATAAAACTTGGAGAATCTAGAAATGGCTCTGACAATATCTGTGGACTTGTCCATGACAATGACAGCTAAACAAAATATTAGTCAACATTCAAAAAAGGAATGGCATGGACTTACCAGCTATATAAACACAAGAAGTTGAAAATCAAACATGATCAGACACTGCACATATAATATTATTTGTGGTCAATGCGTTACTTACCGGTACCAAGACCTGAGTTGACATCACGAAGAGCATCAAAATCCATTCTATCATACGCATTAGATCAAGAAAGTAAATAAATAACAATGGCTTACAAAACGTCGTCACAGATGTTCTTGGGGAGAACAGGCACGGAGGAACCACCAGGAACAATACCGAGCAAGTTATCCCATCCACCGCGAACACCTCCACAGTGCTTTTCAATAAGTTCTTTCAAAGGAATAGACATCTCTTCTTCAACAGTACAAGGGTTGTTTACGTGGCCGGAGATACAGAAGAGCTTAGTACCGGAGTTACGAGGACGGCCGAAACCAGCAAACCACTTTCCACCCCTGAATAAATGTTAGAAAGCTCTAATGGGACAGTTATACGTTATACCTTCTGAGAATAGTGGGAGCAACAGCAACGGTTTCGACGTTGGTAACAGTGGTGGGGCAGCCAAAGAGACCAATATCAGCAGGGAATGGTGGCTTTAATCTGGGCTTACCCTGCTTGCCTTCGATAGATTCAATCAAACTGGTTTCTTCACCACAAATATAAGCACCAGCACCACGGTGAATGTAAACGTCAAAGTCATATCCAGTTCCACATGCGTTCTTGCCAATCAAACCAGCTTCATAAGCTTCATTGATGGCGGTTTGGAGGTTGGCAGCTTCATTGTAAAATTCACCACGGATATAGATGTATGCTATCGTCGTCGCATTAGAAGTGATCTCAGGGCAAAATAGAAATATATAAATACATACCAGCATTGGCTTTCATGGCAGAACCAGCAATAAGACAACCTTCGATCAATTTGTGTGGATCGCCACGAAGAATTTCACGATCTTTACAGGTGCCTGGTTCTCCTTCATCAGCATTAATGACAAGATAACGAGGACTGTTGGACAATTAGTCTACTTGTTGATTCTATATAAACTTTCAATATGACATACCGTCCGTCTGCAGGCTTGTTCATAAAACTCCACTTTAAACCGGTAGGGAAACCGGCACCACCACGTCCACGAAGACCGGATTCCTTCATTTCATTAATAATCCATTCAGGTCCCTTCAAAACCAATTCCTTGGTCTTGTACCAGTCACCACGCTTTAATGCGCCCTTTAATCTGTAATCGTGCTTAGAGTAAAGATTGGTGAAAATACGGTCTTCATCAGAAAGGCTACCAAAAGTGGTCTTTCCGGTGATAGGATTGGCATCAGGGTTGGGCGCAGCTTCACTGGCAAATGTACGGGCAACAGAAACTGCGCTGGGGATCATTCTAGCATGTCGAGCTAAGCTGGTTGCTGAGAGGATTTAACTTTAATACATGTTCAATTATTGCACTTCAATCTAATTACCTCGCTTTGCGGTTACTGTTCTCAACATGACCGAAAAAGACAGGTTAAAGTAGAAATTAAAAAAGAGTTGGGGGTTGAGCTGGAGCAAAAAAGAGTAGCAAAAAAACTCTTTTACTATAGCTGTTGAACCCCCTCCACCATCAAAAATGAATATCCGACAATTAAGTCACCGTCTAATTGATGACATATTGGATAAATTTTAATCACCGATACGATGTAGGGAAACAAACTAATTCATCTTGGCAATCACATAAGTGAGTGTTGGCATTAGCTCGATGTTATCGGAATAAATAGACATCATACAGCTGTCAAGAAATGGTAAATAGAGGATTGAGTGTAATTTCTCATTCAGTATTGACTTCCTCCATTTCGACGTTAACATGTCACTGGTCAATAAGAGATTTTTCATTTATTGAGACGTTCTAAGTATAATGATATTTTAATCATTTAAACATTTCCTAATCGGACGTTTCTTCATAGGATTATATGCCTCTCTTTTCTATTACTATAAGAATTTGTTTATTCATATTCGTCTGCTGGACTAAGCTAAGACAGAGGATGTATCAAATAAGTGCAAGATGATATAGTCAATATTAGTTCTCAATGAACACATGTTTAACGGTTAGCAATTTCTGTTTTAAAAGTATGTCTTTCTTCAAACGATTCAGACAGGCATGCTTTTTTACATACGCAACATATATTTTTGTAAGCTTTATTTAAAATCGGCTAGAACGATAGTATAAATTGTAGCAATTTTGTAGCAGGACGAACTTCGTCTCTTTTAATCAATATCAAGAAAAACTAAATATTAGTCATGTTTGTAGTACTCCCTTTCTTTCCGTCCTCCCAGTCGGGGAGTACATTCAAGCCTATCTTTGATACATTGCACCATCCCATTGGCTTGTATGTGCTTCGTTTCGGTGTTCAAGCTTTGACGCAGTTAAGAAACCGATAAAGTGAATGATCTGCATTCAGTGACAAGGTCGAAAGGGCGAGAAAGTTTTATCATTGTGGAGGCAACATCAACGAAGATCCCGAAGAAAAACTATGGCCGCTTTCGGAAATAACTCAAGAGAGATTTTCATTCACTACCAGTAATCTTTCTATTAGTAACTTGAAGAACAAATTCAATGAGCTTAAAGAATTCCTGTAATCAAGTAAATCTCTCAAGTAACTTAATCCTTGACTGATGATTACCTTCAAACTTTTCTTGCAAATTGAACTATTGAGCTCTTAATTAAAGAATCTTTAGGGGATGTCAATATTATGTACAGCTTAGAATATAGTTTAGACGGCTTCAGATTTCAATCCATAATATAACTAAACCAAAAGGGAAATATCTCAGAATTACCTTTACTTATGTAGGGCATCCCTTCCAGCTTTATTGCTTAATGAAGTCGAGTATCACTTAGTATCCTCAGCTATAACGTAGCCTTAAAGAATTCTATAAAATAGAATATTCGTGGATGCAGAGCTTGATTTATTAAGGCCATAATAATGGTACCACTACCCCCTATGGTACACAGACATATTATATACATCATGTTCGTTTATATCCTTGAAATGTTTGTTTTACGACATTACAAAGCTAGGTTACTTTGTTATCTTTAAGGACTATTAACCAAATGCTACTTTATTAAAATGAAGCATTGTGAATAATGTTAATCATTTTTTCTCTATGTCTTTGTACACTTATTGGGTACCTGATCTGTTACCAATCGCTTCAATGGTTTGAAACATAATTTATTTTAGCATAAAGTCTAATGTTAAACAATGTTTTGGAAATATGATGTGATTTGGTAGTACGGATTAAAGAAGTGTACCTTACAACAAGTAATAAAAGGATGCATGTCATTTTGTCTAACCATTCTGCTTTTCTTGAACTCAGCTACAAGTATATAAAGGAACATTTATTTCACTTGCGAGAGGACATTACGGCTTTCAACATGAAATTCCTTCAAGTATTACTCTTTACTTTGGTTGTTTACACTGCAAGCGCATATGCACGAGTCTGTTGTACTATTTTCGATGCTGACCAAGGACACATTCTCAATGGTACCAAGGATATAGCTTCAATCTTCATACAAACTGATGGTAGGGATCATGCCGATTGCCAAGTTGCTATGGTCATTAATGCCGACATCAAGTATAAAGGCAAATGCGCTTTCAGAGAGTCTGATAACTTGGTGACTGCTGATATTCGTGTGAACAATGCTGACTACCATGTTTCTTGGAACAGAAGCAAAGATACTTGTGGTGCCCATAATATTTCAGTAAGATCTAGTGACTGGTCAAATGGAAAGTGGGAGCTTCGTCAATCTTCAAGAAGCTGGAGTAACTGTGCTCCTGCTTGGGCTGGTTTCTAATTGATATGCTCTTTTAAATGATTTACTCTTATAAATAAATTTTTATAAAGTGTTTATTGCATAAAGAATGCTCAAATAATGTAACCATAAAAAGCATGCTTGAATAATCTTAGTTTACTCATGCAAGTATCCTACTGAATCTTTTGCGCTGCAACAGAGTTAAGACAAAAGAAGGACTCTTTAGTTTCCAAGCAGTGCTTAAGCTCCTTTGAAAAGTGGTCCATATCATCCTTGTTTCTCAGTCCAAGAAGAGGCCCAAGCGCAGGTTGCATACTTTTTGCGCCTTCCACTATATCCCATACAAATTTTTTTGCTGCTGCTGTGTTTTCATCTATTAAGGGCTTGTTAATGAAAAAGTTTGCATGTATCTTTTATACTCACTTAAATTACATGCTCGATAGTCTGCTTGAACTATCTTTACATTATCATTTTCTCTAACAAGATTGTCTAGCTCCTTTCCCATTTCTGCATTTTGTCCTCTAGAGTCACAAGCGGCTTGGACTTTTTAAATAGAAAGATTTCAGGGAGATGAAAGAATAATCTAATATTTACAAGGGAAACTTACTTGCGCTCATGAGTTTATGATACGCAACAGAAGCCTCTTTTGGTAGCTAAAATAAGCGGATTAGAGACAGCTAAATCTTGCCTTTTTTTTTTTTACTTTTCCATCAATATCAGACAGCTGTATAAATCCTCCAGGCTTTGTAACACGAATGGCTTCCTTTACTGCCAATGGCCATTCATCTACTCGTAGGGCAAGAACAAAAAAGCGCATATGCACAAAATCGAATGTGTTGTCAGGATACGGAAGTCCCTTGACAACGTTTCCATAACTAAAATTGAGATTTTCTAAACTTAACATTCTGTTAACAGTGTTGACAATGTCACATCCATAAAATGTGCAATTGGGGTATTCATGGATCATATCCTAAGTCATAAGCTTATAAGAGAAACGGGTCTATTATAGCAATGGTTTGAACCTTACCATCATCCATACACCTGATCCACATCCTACGTCAAGAATAGTGACACCCTTTTCAAAATCTAGGTTCCGGATTATGCTCGGTAGTACGTTTCTATAAAATTAAAAGTCAACATGTGATATAAAATATAGACAAGTAGCATAATGACCCTCCATATAATTCTTTAAATGCAAAGTGTTGCTGTTTAAAATGGTTTTAGTACAACCAATGAATTGTTTGTTCAAATGTCATACAGCTGTCAATCTTTTTTGCTCTTCTTCATCCTTTGGAAGCCAATAAGTTGATTTATCTTCAGAGTGAAACTCTCTTGAAATGTCCATAGAAACATATTCAGTTTCTGAGGTTACTTTTTTGATAGTGGCCATAGTGCTTTGATAATCTGGTCTTTGGCTATCACGTTTCTTTAATCCTAGAAATGAAGCAAAACAATTGCCCATAAAATAAAGAAAAGAAAAGCAATAGAAAAGAACATTCCTTTGTTCTAGCGATGTTATGTAGTACATAAACTGTGCCTGAGAATAATGGATACCCTGAACACAAATTGCTTGAAGGGCCAACAGTGCAAGGTGCATGGTAGGAGCGCTTACTTTGTAGTGCTTTTTTCTCTAAGCTATTTGCTTCCATCACTCGGCTGTTACAGCTGATTTATATCTGCCAAGTTACTTTTATATTATTCCTTTATTTTATTAATCAACTCAAACAGTAATGTCAAATGAACAGCGTAGGTTGCTGTAGAAGAGACTTATTTTCAATAACTCTGGATATAAAAAACACACATTCGTAACACCACATGCTTTGTACTATGATACTAACTGTTGTCATACTAAACGTTGATTCTTGGTCATTCTGGGTATTTTAGCGTCATCTTAAAATGAACCACTGGTATAATAAATTCAAAAGGTGGTGATAGTTTGTTTAATAGTAGCAACTATAAAAGTGGTAGTACCAACGTCGTATATGCTTTGGTCTACATCTGAAATTAGTGTAATGTAATAGAATGGAGGTAGCATAAGCGTACATGATTTACTGCAATCGCTGCAATAGGGCCAGAATTATTTGCTAGTTAGCCTTTACAGATGCTCTGCAATGTTTATTTTTTGACAAAGGCATCAATTAATGGTTTAAAAGCTAGACAAGATTGCCTTTGTTACTTTATGGAATTCCAAGTGAAGAGTCAATTCATGTCCTCCTCTACTATTACTTCATGATTTAGTCGTGATATGTGGATGATTGCAGTAAAAAACTTTTTGAATATCTAAAAGATATGGAGATCGTGTCGAGCAAATACTTTTAAATGTTCCAATGGCCCTTTTACCAACCAAAATGAGTGATTGAGGCCACAAGGTTTTTTAATACGCATAGAGCCTTTTATAGCTTTTTCATAAAGCGCAAGAAGCAAGTGCCCAAAGCTGACGCTCAAAGGCTTCATCAAGTAGGGTGATTTTTTATCAGCGACTCTATAGCCAAAGAAAGTTTTGATCTCCCATCATTAATAAGACTAGATGACTATCGTCAATGAACATTATGAGGGAACCTGAGCATATACGTTACATCTTTGACGAGGAATATATCATTTTTAAAGTAAAGGTTCATGTGTGTACGATATTGTATGGTACTGCTGATCAAAATAATAGGCCTTTGCCGTGAGAGAAAACGCCCAAGTAGCAATCGCGCATGGCCATGTCTGTGTGACGTCTGAGCACTACTGTTTATAACTATATAGGGAAATTGACTGTTCGTTTTGCCTTGATGTTTCGCTCTAACCTTGGCGCCATACGCCTTCATTATGATTCTTTATTACGAAACCAAGCGTTACCCAGAAATTGCCTTTACTAAACCTCATGCACTCCTAGCTCTCGCAGTGGTAAACGCTCCTTAATAGCTATAATACCATTCATAAGTTTAAGCTAGGTATTTTATTACACACTTCTATAAAAATAATGTACGTGATTATTAGACGTACACGTATTTTATATTAAATAAACATGGAACTACAAAAGGACATTGTACAACATTCATTGGAGCTACGTAAGCACATGTATCTTTTTGAGCATTTTACTCACTACATGCTCATGACATATTGAAGGAATTCTGAGCAAGTGTGAAAGTGCTGATCCTTTCTTTAGATATGACCAAACTCATTTACCCAAAGTGAGTACAGTGTGTTAATGATCGGCATATGAAAATCGGGAATTGGAATAATACTTCAGCAGGAGGGGGTGGACAAGAGGGAAATAGGAGTAGATTGCCCTTTTCTCTCTCTCTTTTTCTCTCTTTCCATAAAAATGTCTTTTCTCAACAAAATCATTGATAAAGCAAAGAACCACAAGAACGAAGAATCAAGTTCATCAAATTGTAATCAAAAAGCAGCTCTACCAAAGATACCAGAAAACCATGTTGCAGAAGCTGATACATCAAGACCTATCATAACAGGTGAGTTACATTGTGTGTGTGTGGTTGCAAAGTTGAAGTGTATTATTCTACCTTTTTGTGCTCTTATTTGTGAGAGAACAGTAAGAGATGGAAATATACACTTTTTTTAATAATGGTGGGCTAACATGTTATAAAAAGAGAATACTAGCAAATTTTCTTTTAAAAGTCGACATAAGCAATATGATTCAGCCATCCTAGATCAACGCAAGAACAAACCTAAGCTAAAGCTGGATGATTTCAGTTTATTGAGGACATTGGGAACAGGATCGTTTGGTAGAGTTCACTTATCACAATCAAGGCACAACAGTAGATATTACGCAATTAAAGTGCTAAAAAAGACAGAGGTAGTAAGATTGAAGCAGGTGGAGCATACCAATAATGAGAAGCATATCTTGGAATCTGTTGCGCATCCCTTCCTTGTCACCTTATGGGGTACATTTCAGGATGACGCCAACCTTTATATGGTTATGGATTATGTCCCTGGTGGCGAACTATTTAGCGTTTTAAGAAAGAGTAAACGATTCCCTGACCATGTCGCCAAATTCTATGCAACAGAGGTTACATTGGCATTAGAGTACCTTCACAACAAGAACATCATTTACAGAGACTTGAAACCAGAAAACCTGCTACTGGATGCGACGGGGCATATCAAAATTACAGACTTTGGTTTTGCCAAGTATGTACCAGATATCACGTGGACTCTATGTGGTACACCTGACTATTTAGGTATAATTGAACGAGCTTTAGAGGAAAAAGACTAATTACTATTCAACACAGCTCCGGAAGTAATTCAATCCAAAGGTTATGGAAAAGCAGTTGACTGGTGGAGTTTGGGTGTCTTGATTTTTGAAATGCTGGCAGGATATCCACCATTTTACGATGACGATCATCTCAAACTGTATGAAAAGATCATTCAGGGAAAGATTCGTTGGCCATCTTATTTTGATCCAAATGCAAAGGATTTGTTAAAGCACCTTATTACAGCTGATTTGTCTCGTCGCTATGGTAATCTTAAGAATGGAGCAGATGACATCAAGAATCATCCATGGTTCTTTGGCGTAGATTTTGCTCGAATTGCCAGTCGTCAGGTTCGACCTCCGTACGTTCCTCAGATACGCGGGGATGGTGATGCAAGTCATTTTGACAGATATCCAGAAACAAATGAACAATATGGTACACCATGTCAAGATCTTTACAGAGACAAGTTCCCTGATTTTTAAAAAATAAAATAAAATAAAATATTTCTTTTCTATCGAGTTCAAAAAACGAATAGACTACGCACATATACAAAGAATAGATATTTAATAACGATATTAACACAATATGTATACAAATAATTTAATTATGTTGTAGGAAAACTTAAGCAGATCTTCCCTTTGTTTCGACTGGTATGCTTGTCTGATTGACCTTGCTTTGCACTTGGTTCATGATTTCAGCATCACGGACGGCTGATTGTCCACCAAAGATTTCATCCATTTCTTCAAGTGAACGACCCTTTGTTTCTATAAGAGATACGGATGAGCATTATGCAAGAATGAAATCATTTTTTACTTGAATTACCTGGTACAAATAACCAAACAAAGAAAAATGACAACACCAAGAAGCAGGCAAAGAAGATGTAAGTACCATACGTAATGTTTGCCAACATAGTAGGTACAATAAGACCAATAATGAAGTTACACATCCAGTTTGCAGAAGTTGTTACGCTCATTGCCTTTGCACGAGCTCTTAAAGGGAAGATTTCAGCAGCAATAACCCAAGCGATAGGACCCCAACCATAGGCAAAGTTGGCAATAAAGATATAAATGAAGGCAACCGAGACCCATCCCTCAGCCGTATGATTTGGCCAATCATGTTGGAAGAGAGCTGTGATGATGGCGACAATGATCATACAGATAGCCATGATAATGGAGGCAACCATAAGTGTGCGTTTACGACCAACAATATCCAGCAAGAATACGGTAGGGAAGGTCATGACGAAATTGATGATACCAACGACACCTGTTGCCAAAAGAGACACGGAAGTGCCAGTTAATCCGACTGACTGGAAAATTTTGGGTGCATAATAAATTAATGCATTAACACCGGAAAATTGCTGGAAGAACATGATGATGCTACCAATAGCGAGGCGATTAAAAATGCCTTTTCTGAACAGATCTCGGTAACCCAAGAGTCCGATCATCAGTCGACCTTTACGTCCCTTGTCGACATATTGAGGATACTGTTCACGTTCGACTTGACGATCAAATTCAACAGAGACTTTAATTTCTTTCCATTCTTCAATGACTAATGGATGGTCTTGAGGAAGACGACGCAGCTTGGAGATCACACGTAATGCTTCTTCTTCTCTTCCTTGACCCATAAGCCAACGAGGCGAGAAAGGAAAAAAGAGAATACCAAGACCAAGCAAGATAGCAAAGAACATTTGGAGACAAAGAGGCACACGCCACGACGCCTGACCGCCTACTTGAGTCAAGCCAAAGTCAATCCAAAAGGAGATCAAGATACCAAACGTCACAGCCAGCTGTTGTAATGAAACCAAAGATCCACGAAGCTCAGGAGGGGAGATTTCGGATTGGTAGAGGGGTCTGCATGAAAAATTAGCATGGTCATATGACCTGCGATAACATCATGTACTTACACTAATAAACTAAGGGCGCCGACAGCCATACCAGTGACAAACCGACCACCAAGTAGATAATTCACATTTTGAGCACCACCTTGAATGGCGCTTCCTAGTAAGAAGATAACAGTGGATAGTGCAATGGAATGCTTTCGACCAATTCTATCAGCAAAGTAACCAATAATCCATGAGCCAGCCCATGCACCAAGTTCGAGAATGGAAACCATAAAACCTCTCTGTGTAGGGTTCATTGGAAATCGTTGAATAAAGTCATCCATTTCTTGAACTCCAGAGATGACACCCTGATCGTCTGTAAGATATCATTAGTCTTTTGCTTGCTTTAAACAAGTTCCATTGTCTCTTACATCCAAAAAGGATACCACCAATAGAGGCAAACACAGCTGTCAGACACACATATGGATTCTTAATAAATCCAGCGAGACCGCTTTTGCCGGCATTATACTTGTATCGATCAGCAGCAAGATGTCCAGTAACCTCTGAAGAGGGATAGGTAGTTAATTTTGTATGATTGACTTCATCGGCGGATGCATCTTGATCTTTAGGGGTATTCATTTTCTTTTTAAAAAAAAAATAGAATAAAGGAAGATAGAAAAAGAAAAAAGACAAAACCATTTTATACTTTTTGACTAGCATCATTTCCGCGCTAGAATTTTTTTTTTTTTTGTTTCAACTATCTTTAAAGGGTATCTGATGGACTCAGAGTCCCCTTGATATTATTACATATTGATTCAACTAAAATTGGCAAAGGCTAAAAAATAGTCTTTGGAAAGAAACGGGAAAAACTAAATAGAAAAATGACAGAAAGAGTTTATTTTAAGCAGTTTATATGATCTTTATTCAATGTAGATCACACCGTTTGTCTCTGTTCCTTTTGTTAAATTGTCCTCTTATGGATTAAATTGTATAAAAAAGGCCTCTTCTTTATTCAAAAAAGACCTTTTCTGCACAATGCCCCATGTTTTCCCAACATTTCCAAAAACAATGGCCAATCTTTAGCGCCCATCCGATTTCCCCAGAATCTTCCCCGCATTTTCCCAAACTATTTCGTCAGCTTGTATTACACCCTACGACATAAGCAGCTATCAGTGCAAAGGTTTATTGGCGAAACTCGTTGTTGTCTATAGGAGGAGCTCTCTTTAGAATATATTTGAACCTACTGCTTATAGGATGGAGTAATAAGCTTTGTTACTGAGGCTATGTTCTCTATCATGGAAATTCGACGATGACGTTTTCTGCTTGATCGATAAAGGTATTACCAAATATGTAAATTTGTACTTTTTTCCAGAAAAAATGGCCAACTCCTCTTTCTTTATCTCACCTCATTAGCGGACCATCGATTGTGGTACATTACTTAATGTTAGTAAAAGAGACTAAAATATCTCAAACACGCTGAATTTTCTCTGATACAAGGACTCCCAGGTTGTTTGCCCATTAATTTTTTTTCAAATAAACCAATTGGCTGGCTGGAGTGAATAATTTCACCGATTTTGGTAACTAAATTTGCAGGAACGCGAACATTGGTAGGCTCCGTTTCCCTGACCAGGTTATTTTTTGGAACCGTATGCATATAGAATCCCAGTTTCATTCAATGAATACTGAGCTTCTTGCAAATCCTTTCATATTCCGAAGCTCAACTGCCACGATCAAGGATCCTGCTATAACTGATTAGTCTAATTTGCCAAGCCAGTCTTTTTTTTATTTTTTTTTATTACATACAAAGTTAGATTACTAAGCTTACTCATTACAATTGAAAACACAGAGGATTCCAATCTATTTCTAAAGTATACGCTTTGTGTAAACCTCATATTTGTTTATCCTTTGTCGGTCAGTGGTTGTGGCCTTCATCTCATATTCCGATATGACAGAACAATACTCTTTAAGCCGCTTTATTTTTTAAGCAAACATCATGGTACGAATTATGAAGACTATTCTACTACCCGCCAGAGAAAGACCACGAATAAACGTATATCAATGCTAAAGATGAGTAACTTCTCAAAGAATTTAACAAGGAAGTTAAACTTGAAGTAGCCGAACATGTAGATGGCTTCCTTTTCCACAGCGATATACAACAACAGCTAGATGGGCCTTTGTCTAGTGCTCTACAAGCAAAACATTTATGAAGTTCCAAGATTAAATGTAGGAAATGGACAGCAAGCGAAACAATCAACAGGGGGTTCGTACAGTATATCAGATAAGGATACTGAGCATCTTCGAAACAACGCAAAGCCAACAGCATTCATATATCAAGACCTGCGGCAAGCACATGAGTATCAAGATAAAGAAGAACTTCGCAGGAACATAGGACAGCTCCGTCGATATATCATCTGCAGATTTTACACCAGCAAAGAAGTGTATAGAGAAACAAAAATAAGTACATTTAAAGCCATAGACTTTTTAACAATACCCGTTACTTGGGGAAAGATGAACCAAGTAAAAAAAAAAGTATGCTTTGGATACAGAAAGAGTCGAAAAGATTCAAAAAGAAAAAAAATACAGCTATAACATCTTGCGAAACGCTACCTCCGCCTAACGAAGGTGATTATGGAGGAAGGTTTCAGAAAACGTCTTTTTTCAACAGAGAATTTTTCGGTCATGTGAATAAAGGATTATGCTCAAACCAAATCGATTTATGATTGGCTTAAAAATGAACAACTGTGACCCAAGGGGCCTTTTCTTTCTTTTTCTTTTTTTTTTCCTTTTCTCTCTTCACCTCTCACATTTTGAATAGCTGGTACTCTATTCACGCAAACTTTTTTGATAATGATCACTCTCCTGCATATTTCTCAGCGAGCTTTTCGTAACGTGGTGAATCTTATCAGTAGTATCCACGTACAAAAAGTGGGGTTTTTGTGGGGTGTTTCCATCGGGCTTCTCGTGAACAATACCCCTAGTGTTGAATAGAGTACCTCCAAGAGACCTGGTTGCACCTAAGAGACCTGGTTGCACCTCTGCTATTCATTATGTAGTAGATTCTTCCATGCAAGCAGGTAATACGGCCTCAACGACCGCTATAGGTATAGAGTATGGCCTCACCATAGGCAGTACAGCAGCGCGTTCTATACTTGGCGAGAGTCACGTTGGCCCCAATATTATCAGCACTATTGGACTCAAGAGTCTATTTGGTCTTTTTTCTTTCTTTCCCTCCACGATACTAGAACAGGTTTTCGTCCTGTGGGGGATGGATCCAAGCTATGCTAATAAGTTTGGTGAACGAAGATTCTAGCTTTTATTTATGACTTATTTTGCCACTTACGCGACAATTCAAATCACCAACTACCTCTATCTGACAATATTTTTCTTTTTTCATATAAAATTTTTCCTTCTCAATAAAGAGCGTAAAATGTTAATCATCGTTTTTCTGTTCCTTTAAGCTAATAATAACATGCTTCTATCTTTAAAGTACATTAGCTGAGTCAAGTACACCAAAGGATGGTGAAGTTTATATCTCACGCTTTTTTGAGCGTATATCATAGTTACTTGGCTAAAGTACACAGTGAGAGTGTAAGGAGAGAAAGAAGAGGACAGACACGTAAAGAATCACAGACACCGTATTTGGAAAAATCTATAGTATATCAGCTGAATGAGATTCATTACAAGTTTTACAATTCATTTTTTCTTGACGTGCAGAAAAAGAGAAGGATGACAACCAACTGTAGACAACTACAAGAGTTGTCAAGGCAGCCGGCAACCTTTTCCGACGAAGGACGGAATTCAACCGCGCCATCCCAGCACAGTTGCCGCTTCCAGATGGAGTGTATTAATGTATATGGGTATTTCAATGTGAAAGACAAGTGCAAAACCTACCACCCCTCAATTAGTAGCTTATGTCTTCTTCAAATGTAGATACAAGTCCCTGGCATACCACCTTATTCTCCATTTCTTAACCCCGTAGAAGAATGCTAAACGAACACGGAAAGCACAATCCGCCATGTGACTTGTTCAAGAAAGGCAACGAATGAATGTCTCGTATTGTTAAGGCATGTAAAATGTTAACCTCAAAGTATTGTGAAGCTTGCAGAAACTTGTTTGAGATAAATGCATTCAGCAACAAATTGGCATGTCATAATACGCACTTTACTATTTTCCGCTCATCATTGATTAAAATGCTTGTCTTGAATCTGATTCGTTTAAAATAAAGTAGGAATCTAAAGTTTATCCGAAAGTAGTGTAAAGAGAGGGACATCAAAAAATAACAAAAAAAGTTAGTTTCAGATGTTAATACCGAAAGTAGTTCCTAAAGTGATATCGGATGATTATGTTTTATCAATACCATTTTCATCATAATCGAGTGATTTGTTCATTAAAAGAAAGGGCGCATGATTACAATGATGTTTTAAAAAGGACTGAGCAGATGTTTAAGATGATCCAGCAAGGGAACGAAGAGAGAAGGATATATGTTAAGAGATAAACAATATAGTTTATTTTATACAAAATTAACCGTGTTTGTATGTTTGTGTGTGTACATTTATTTATATTAAATCAATGAAAAAATGGTATAAAATATAGTTTAGGGGGGAGTGGCGGTCGTACTACTGACACCAGTGGCAGCTGAGTGAAATGGCCACCAGTCACTTCTGTCATTAGGTCTATTGTTACTGTTACTACTATAAAGATAAGGTGCTTGGCTGTTGTTATTTCTTGCTGGTTCGTTCTCTGTCCTTGAGAGGGACACATCCGGTTCTTCTGTTGGAGTATCTGTTGTACTTCTTGATTCATAGTCTGAATAGACTAGATTGGGTGTATTATTTCCGTTATATGGGTGTTTAGCAATTGTAAGGTCTCTTTCGATCTCTTCGTTTGTTGCTCCGTCTACAAAGGAACGTAATCATGGTGGTTAAGGATATATAAATTGTATAGTATCAATAGTGTTATATTTTTATAAAAAGGATATCAATTGTATGCAGCCTTTCAGGTGGAACCCAGTCTTGATAGTCGTGCTCTTGATTCTGTGTTTTTGCTATACCAAATACTATTAATCAAAAGATCAACCGCAAGCCCATAAGCTTACATTGCTTATTCAGTCGGCTAAGCTCCTGTCTTAGTTTCTGCATCTTTGTCTGTACTTCTTCAATAAGTACAGCCCTTGCTCTTTTACGAGCAAACTACAGAAAAATGAGTATGAATAAAGAATTCGATTTGACCTTACGTAATAGTCGTCCCATGCTTGCTTCTTTTGAGCTGTAAACCAGTCGAGTACTGACGTCTTTTCGTGATCTCTCCAAATTTTGATCTTTTCTAATTTCTTTTGTTTGGATTCCTCCAGTTCGTTCATTAGACGGCTGTAATCAGGATGTTCTGAGGGATCAATATATTTATTTGTTAAATCATATACTTCTTGCTGTGATCTACTATCAAATGTTAGCTTAATTCAATTTATTACAAGAAATCATAACTGGTTATCATTATTCGCTGCAGGAGTAATAGTGCTATTATGATGGCTATTGTCTCTTTTAGAGCGTAACTGTTTCTTGGTCTTTTTTATATTTTTTGTCTTGTCACCAATTATATTATTAGATGTGGGTTTTTTTGTTCGACTACTGCGAGTATTAGAAGAGGTCATGTTAAAGATAAAAAAAATAAAAGAAAAAAGAAAAAGAAAAAGAGAGAGAAGAAGAAACAATTTCTGGCTCAATCTGCAAATCTGTACTCACTTTCCAGATAGGAGGTTTGGTTAAATGTTACACTAGAACGAGCCAATCACAACCTCTTTCCATTTTTATCGAGAACACTCTTTTGCTGCATCCAGGCAACAATGAAACCATGGTGATGATCATGTATACTTTATGGTCCAAATATATCAGTTTTAAATATATAGAAAGAATGATTATAGAATTAAATAAATGTAATCTATATCCATGCTTTTAATTCTTAAGTAATTAACATCAAAAACATAAAAGGCTATAAAACCCATGGCCGAGAAAAAATTAATAGACATGGAACGATTAATAGTGACGGAATAATGGAGACAAGTATTATTTGAAGAATCAAGATGATTACACAATAATTGCTAAAGATCTCTTGTCATCGGATGCAATTGTACTGCTTTCCTTTTAATCATTCCGCAAAAAAGAGTACAAAAGTATAACAATAAAGTTAGTAAAAACGAATAAATACAGGGGCTATACTGATTTGTCCCAGAATGATAAGGTTAACTTGCTAAAGACTGGGCTAAAAAAGTGGGGAAAGTGCATATATGATCATCAAGAGTGGGCTACTTCAGGCAGCTTTAATTTTGTTTAACATCCAGCGTAGTTTTTATATCTCTCAGTACGTATCTCTTTTCGTTAGATCATCCAATATAGCGCAATTCCATGCTTTGTTTGTTTTAATTACTGATGAAGTCTACACTTATACAAAAAAGGTTTTTCCTTATTTGTCAATACCTAATGGGGGAAAGTTCGGTTCGGACAATGTCCAGCCTGAAACGAGCCCCCTTCCCTTGTCCCTGCGGATCTTTCTCTTCTTTTTTTTATACAATCATGAAGTCAGCACTGAGACCTTTTAATCAGATCACTCGTCGATACATTCACCGTACACCTTTTGCATGTCAAAGTGAATCAGAGGCTGCTGCACAACGTAACTTTTTATAACGAGATTTATTGCCCTGTTTTTGCTAATGTCATTAAAGGTGCTGAGCGAACACTCAAGCGATTCTGGAAACGAGCTGGCATCAAGGAAGATCAAGGTACTAAAAAACACAATTTATAGAAAAAAGCTCTAAAAAAAATCTAGAATCTGTCACAGTTGTTCTTGATCATCGTAATCTGCGTACACCAGGCAAACACATTGTTCAATTCCCTAAACAACAAAGACAGTTGGCATTATTGACAGCTGCCGAGTGGGATACACAAACACAAAATTTGAAGGCACACTCACTACCACTAGTAAGCACTAATGAACGATAGAAATAACGAAAAAGATTGAACCTTTCAAAATAGACTTCCATTGTTGCACGCGCATTCGATACCTTCGATCCTACACGTACTCTAGACACAACTGTAAGAACAGGAGTTGTTGACAAATTGATGCAGTATCTCGACACAGACGCTATTTGTTATCATGAAGAGTTTCCCGAAGCATTGACACAACTTCAAGATACCTACTGGAAGCCTATTATCGAGTGGGTTCAAACAACATTTGATGTCAAAATTGATACAACCACTACCATCTTTGCAGTGACTCAGCCAAAGGAGACAAGGGAGAAATTAAGAAATATTGTTGAGCAAATGGACTCTTTGGAATTGGCCGCTTTTGAGAAGGCTGTCATGTCTTCCAAAAGTTTCTTGATTGGCCTTGCTTTGGTAAAGAATGGTATCACAGTCGAAACAGCTGCCAGAGCTGCTCACGTCGAGATGAATGCTCAAATGGAACGATGGGGCGAAGTAGAAGACAGTAAGAATTTTTTTTATATATATAAAAGAAGTGCTAAAATATGTGTTACTAGGTCACGATGTTGAAAGAGAGTACATTAGACAAACACTTGGTTCAGTTGCTGTGGCCATTATGCATAAACATCAATAAACCATTAAAAAAGGGAAGGTTGGGCGTGTTGACATAGGAGCGCTATGATATCTGACATGGTGATGACGCCCTTTACTTTTTTAGAATTATTTGAATCCAAAATCCAGACTCTGTGGGTATCCTTTTGAATCATAGTGTCCAAAATGTTTTTCAATGGAGTATCAGGCGTTGCAACTGAAGGTGTTGAATGATGTGATGATTTCTACATGACATTCAGTTCTTCTTTCTTTACTCTAAATGCATAAGTGCACTTACCTTGACATACTCTTTACAAGGCAAAGCCAACTGATCGATTGTTTCCAAATTGGCATTGGGTAGGTCTTCCACGCATAAATCTGCTATAAATTGACCTTGCCTAACAATTTAAATAAGCCTTTCATATACAAACACACTCAAAATGAAGTCTACTTGTCTACAACAGGCAATCCGCTAAAATTTTTGTTTGCCATAAATCGATACACATTTAAGGCTGTTTCTTCATCGGATGCAGTGACGAGTTGCTGTTCAGAAAGTACCGTGAGATCTTGAACTGACTTTTCTAAATCCAGTAAACCGGAGACTGAATCTGGGTGGTTGACAATATGTCGGATGATATCTGTCTGTGAGAGAAGCCAGCACTTGTCTTGAGGATCATTAAAGTTAACGACAAGTGAACGATGTTTACCCGAGGCAAATGCACGTAAAGTCTAGTTGTAAATCGTCTATGAGTCAAATGATACATCACAATTACCTTGACCCACCTCTATAAGTCTGTCAGAACGGTCAGTTTTATGCATCCGATAACTTTCTCTGTCAATATCGAGACCCAAGACGGACTCAACTGGATCCTGTAAGTTTAGTTGTTCCTTTTCAATTTCCTTGCCTTGTACAAGATAAAGCAAGATATCCAGCAGATTGATAATACTAACAATATCCGTGTTCTTGTGAGAATACATCGGGAGGGATGTGATCTTGTTATGTGACATAAGGTTCAAAGCCGTTTGAATTGAAACTGTAGGACTGACAGCTATCAGTGCTGGTTTTGTTTCCGCAAGGCTTAAATCAATCGGCCTTAGTTCAGTAATAAGTTGACTCATGGTTTTCAATAAAAAAAGAAAAAAGAGAAAGAAATACTTGGATAAGTCACAGACTATTTATTTCCTATTTTACTAAAGTAGGACGTTTCCGAGCTAGACTTCCCAAAGATCCCCGAAGGAGGATGATTTTATAAACCTTGTTCTTAGTCTGGCTTATGCCTTGTTAGAAGAGGGGGACAACTGCAATACATAAAATATTTCATTATCGGTCCCTTTCGTTTAATCTTTTAGAGAGAATATTCGTACGGCTACCGAAATGAAGACAAAAAATGCGGCACGACTTTCCTTTTGGTGCAGATGATTCATCTAGACACTTTGGCTTGCCCCAAATAAAGCCTTTTACACGGTCAACCAAAACATAGGCTCGAGCAGAATAAATCCCTAGCGCACAGCAAGAAAGTTATTAAGAACAGTATTTAGAGAAATGTTTGTATTTTATTGTACAAAAAAAAAAAAAAAGAAAAAAGAAAAAAAAAGCGCGGCTCAGAGAGTATTGACCACATCTTCCGCCTTCATTTCGGCAACAGTATGATATTTCACTGCATATCAAGAGTTGCTTTCACTTGTGCTTCTTTTTTATTCAATGTCTTAAGTTTCTCTCTTCTTTTCTTTGTATTCGTTGGCAACTAGCCATGTCTTTCTTTCAGCTTCCTAAAAGATGGATGAGATTTCCATCTTTCGACTGTTCATTGTTTACATACCTTTTCGAGAGGCAGAAGAAGTTGACCTTTGCAAAAGTTTATATAGAGGCTTACCGGCATACATCGAGATAATGAAAAGAAAAAAGAAACATTGAAGAAATAGTGACCTTTTTTAATCACTTTCAATTGTCATCAACTAAGCTCTATACTAAATCATACGAGGCGTGAGCGTTGTTTAATTTTCTTCTTAACTCGTATGTCAAAAATGATAGTAGCATCCTTACTTCTTTTTGCAAGAGTTGAATACGACCAACACGCTATATTCGTTCAATTGCGAGATTTGGTCATGAGAAAATGCAGACAATAGCACAAGAAAAGTAAAATTATTAATTGGATGCATGATTAGCTGTAATTATATCATCGTTTCCCCCGTCCTCATAATCCTCCGCTCTGCATACCCTCGCTTTTATATATAAAAAGAAATATCTATTCTTTTCTACAATCAGAAGCATGATTAAAGCGATTATATTTGTTTAGGGGGAAAATCGTTTGGATTGAAAGATCTGTCAGATCTTTAAAATGTATCAACAACTAGAGTAATCGTCATCATTTCATTCCATATATCAATTTGATCACTGCTTAAAAATGAGTGTCTTATAAACGGTATATTGCTATTCTATTACACATTGTACATTGCACATTCTTTTTTGGGGGATCAAACTAATCTCGATAAGGCAATGCACTGACATCCAAAGTCCGATAACCGTTTTTCAAAATCTTCTACTTTACTTTTGACAACAGACTATTTTAAAGACAGAAAGCAGTATACATGCAACTTGGTGTATCAGTTTATTCCAAGTAGCAAGGTAGCCTTTCTAACCGGAAGTGACTCTTATTTGTCATGATGTCAAGCTGAACAATGGGTGACGGACCAACTGTTTTCTGATTGCATCAATAAACATGCAACTAAAGCCGAAAAAGACTCCAGTGCACATACCCCATTCTTTTCTATAAATGATGCATACTTCAAGCCTCTCTTTTTTCAATGGCACATAGTACATACATTGCATAAACAAGCATAGCATATACCCCTATTAGATATACCCACTAACTTATGACTTGTAGCAGAAATGGAATCATGACCATCAACAATAAGGCCAGACATCATAAGATGAACCTTTGTTGAGTTTTCAGCTTAGGTCTAGTAAAAGGATCATAGTCTTGCACAGTAAAAGTGTAATAGAATGCTTTTCTTCATCAGTCATCTCGAATACTCCACTCTCCAATCTTTGGGGTAACTCATTTCTTTATCACGAGTAAACCAATACTCCGTTTCTTTACTCTTTACAGACAATAGCTCGTTTAATATGCATTTATCTTTTTTGAGCCACAATGTCTGGCTTTGGTAAAGCTATTTTTAATGTATTAAAACCAATCCTTTTTCTCTTCTTTTGTATGAATTGGGTAATCAATAAAAAAGGGCGTGACACTCTGACTTTATAAATACGGATTCTTTTTTTTTTACTGCTTTTTTTTTTTCTTTCAATTTCTCCGTCTCTTCCCCTTTCTTTTCTTTTTTTTTTCTTTTTGTTTTTTATAGACAGAATAGACAGGATAGACAATAAGATTTAATAATACAAAAAATGGAGAATTTATTAACTCTTCAGTCCCGAAGTGTGCTTCATCATGATGATCATTTGGACCTCGAGGTTTTCTTCAAGGATAACCTCGAACCACTTATGAAGAAGTTCAAGTATCGTTTATCTCAATTTGAAAATGCCGTTGTCGCCAGCGAGCATTACACCCTAACAAAAATCAACAAAGCCTATTGTTTATTAGAAAGTCTTGGACAAGAATGGGAAAAAGCACTCGAAGCTAAACGTAAATCATTGCTGGAAAATGATAATATCATGACCCCTCCTGATTTAGTCAGTGTCATGGTCGAATTATCTAAAAAGTACCATGAACTTGAGAATTTAAGCAACAAAGAAATGCTGGAAAACACCATTGATGCATTCATGTTAAAGGTGGAGGAACTTGATGGTAAAATATCCGATGTTCTCGGCCGTGCCGACAAGATGAGAGAACGTGTAGAAGAGAAGTTGTATGAAGTGGCCGGAGCAGCCAATGAACATATCGATAAATTAAAGGCTGCCATGTCCTTTGGTACTAAACGTTTACTCTTGTACGACGAACTTCCAGCCCCGTGGCAGAACAATAAGGTGAGAGAAAAAGAAACAAAGCCTCTTGTTTCATGATAATAACATATTCTATAGTACATCTTGTCCGGTTATCGCTTTTTGGATACCGCTGCTGACTGTTGGTATTCACTATTCTATGTACACAATGAAACCGGTAATATTTGGACACATCTATTGGGGTTTATCCTCTTGCTCAGCATCGGCATTTACGAATTGCTCTATTCCGAATTAATGACAAAAATACCAATTCGTGATCGCATTGTCTTTTTGATCTTTTTGGTTGCCGCTTGTAAATGCTTGATGTGCTCTACCGTGTGGCATACACTCTCAGGGATCAACAACTTAAAGGTCTACAAGCAAGTCGCCTGCTTAGATTATGTAGGTATCTCTGTTCTCATCTGTGCAAGTATCATGCTTTGTGAATATTATGCTTTCTACTGCGATGACGCCATACGTAACGCCTACATGGCCGCCACTGCCTCCTTAGCCATCATGGGCGTCAGTATGCCATTCCAAGCCTGGTTTGACCATCACGAAAGACGATGGCTCCGAATTGCCTTCTTTATTGCCCTGGCTTCATCAGGTGCTATCATCATCATACATACGTCTCTCATTCGTGGCATTTTCCAAACTTTTGGTTGGCTGACCCCCGTCTTCAAATCAATCGGTTGCTATGTCGCTGGTGTCATCATCTACGGCAACCAATTCCCTGAAAGATTTTGGCCTGGCAGGTTTGATAAACTAGGACACTCTCATCAATTTTGGCATCTATTTGTCTGTGGTGGTATCTGGTATCATTATCAGGCAGCCCTTCAATTTGCTTCATTTCGTGAAGAGTTTGCTCAGTGTTCTCTTAAACAATAAGGAACGCAACTTTATTTATTATATTCCCTCACTTTACACAAATATCAAAACTATTTATTTTTTATATAATAATAATGCCTGCATTTTTCACTTTCTCTCTATTATTCACTATTCTATTTACACATGTATTCTCTTTTTTTTTTTTTATATCAGTGAAATCTTTGTTCTCACCAAGCCTCCACGAAAGTTCTTTAATGGTTGAGGTACCTGTTGAAGCCTTCGAAACGCTTCGTGAATATGTTCAGGTAATAAAGGAGTCTGCTCCGATCTGGACGGCATAAATAAGCCTTGGTTATCAGCATCAAAACTAGGATTCTGTTCTTTTTCAGAACCAGGGCTTGATTCTGTTGTTGTTGTTGTTGCTGTTGTCCCATCAGCAGATGTTACTATAATGGAAATACCATCATTGGATAAACTTGACTCTGTCCTCTTTACGCTTTTTTGATTCTCTTGCTCTCGTTTTCTTTTATGACCAAGGCCCACTGGTTCGTCTTCCTGCTCACCCGCTGCTGCCATCATGTCTCGTTTGATCTTGATTGCTGTCAGTGTTAACTTGGACACCATCTCATATGTCAAGAAACCCAAACTATCGACAATATCGTCATTCGGTTTCACCTCAACAAATGCGCTCATATTAGCCCAATCTCGAAACTTTTTACTTTTACGATAAGTGAATGATGCCTGTCTACACTCTGAATAATGTACATATTCTTCTTTTGTCATTGCTCGTGTCACTTCATCAGCTTCTTTAAGTCGCTGAGCAGAATCGTTATAAGCTTCTAGTTCATCTTCGTCCTCTGATTCGTCTTCACCATTGACTGACTTTATAATAGCATCCGAAAACTGGTTGATAAGTTCCCAAGGAAGCTTGATAATACTTCTATGAAGTTTACCTGCTATTTGTTATATTACGTCTTGTTTCTTTTAAAAAATGCACGTTCTTACCCGTATTTGTCTCTTCTACAACATCTTCTACTTGTTCTCCTGATGCATCCTTTGCATTCTTTCGAACATCTTTCCAACTTAGAAATGAACGTAGTCGATTGACCTTGGCACGATCGTGTCGTATTAAAAAGAGAATGTCCTCTGCACTCAGGTACCTTGAATTCCTACGATTGGCTTGTGCTGCTGCTTGTATAATCTATAACATGATTAATATATAAATTCATTACATAAAAAAAGAGAGTATTACAATTTCAATCACTTGAGATCGAACAATGTCTTCCACGAGCATCGTCGTTTCTTGTAAAGGATCAGATACTTCACCAAAGACAAACATCATTTGTTGAATTTCAGTTTGAAATCGATATTTAGACTGTGTATATACATTAGTATTGTATAGAATGTTGTTTTAATAGGCGTACTTTTTTAGGCTCTGTTGTAGTCGCCATTATACAAATGTGACAAATGAATAAAAAAAAAAAGAGAAAGGAGTGATTTATTGTGTTTAAATATTTACAACATAGAAATTATGCAGCCACAGGTTGCTCTTCATGTGTCTTGGGCAATAATTTATCTTCAAGCTTATCTACTATCGAAGCAGCGTCTACTGAACCAAATTCAGTGTGTATGCTCGCATACTCTCTTTCTTCTGTAATCTCATTTCTTCGTCTCATCAAGTTTTCATTCTTTCTGTCAAGTACTTGCTTTACTACGTTCCATGCTCCTCTCGTCAAGTAGTTTGCTTTACTTTCTACCATATCGATCAATTGTTTCTCATCTTCTTCCAAGTCCAAGAATTGCCACAAGCTCTTCATATAGGCCTCACCACGGTCATCCCCATAGAGAGGATAGATATATGAAGCATCTTGGGCAGTATAGAACGCACCTGGTGGTTGGTGACCTAATGTGGTGAAGGGTCCATAATCTAAAAAGTGAGCAGAATGGACCTGATGCTTGTTTCTGTAAAAGTCTTCTGCGGATTGACGATTTTGATAAAAGGCAGATGGAAGTGCACCTGGGTTGCTAGTGATAAGCTGTGGTGGATCACAAAAGGGATTCTCAACGGGTATTAAAGTTGTGAGATCAGATACTGTCAAACAATAAGTAAAACAATGTAATACATTCAGCGTGTGTACATACCTCCGCCTACTGCATGTAACGATCCATCCGGTGCATATACAACACCTGCTTCCGTCACCTTCTTCTTCTTTTTCTTGGTGTATGATGACTTTGAAGGTGTTAATATACGAGAGCTTGCAAGGTCAATACTTGTCGTATCAGATCCCTGTCTACTGTGCTTTCGTAACGATAAAGTATTTGTATCGATACCCATGATATCTACATCCTCTTCCTTGATAAGTGAGTCTTTGCGCCCTACTGAGAATGACAGCTTTCGTCCATCCTGTAATGTGTCAACAGTTATCGCACTTTCTGCTGCTGCTGCTGCCATTTCTTCTTCATATTGCTTTTCTGCTTTATCAATCAGTTTTGATCCCACTTCATACAATTTATCAGCACTCTTCCAGTAAATGGTATCAATAGCGTTGTATAGCTTCGCGTTGCTCACAATCAAGTTGAAGTCTTGACGAAAGTCATCCACGTTCTTGTATTGGCCACTATCTAACTTCTTCTGCATAGTAGAAAAGTCCATGGGCGATTTGATCACTTTTAGGTAATCTGGTACATAGTTAGGATCAACTGGCTCTAAAAAGAAACCATACACATCGCGTCTATGGATCAATTAGAACCTCATCTGAGATATTTCATTATTGCTTACTTTTGTAAATTGTCAAGTAACTTGGTTAAAATCGCTTTCAGATCTCTCTTTGGGTTCTCGGGGATTTTGGGAGGAAGTTGAGCTAACAGAGCAGCTGCCTTCGCCTTGTTGGTCGGTCTACCTCTTTTCTTTGGTTTATCTGTAGCACTTGTGTTTGATTTTACTGAAGAAGAACGCCTCGTCTTTTGTTTTGGAGGCCGGCCTAGTCTAGGGCCCTGTTGCTGTGGTGGTGGGGGTGGCAATTGTTGTTGTTGTTGAATTGTTAATGGTGTCGACACAGATTGCTTTGAAGAATAATATTCTTCATCTTCATCATCGCTGTCATATGATTGAATCTTTGACCTTTTTGTGTCTGTTGGATGATAAATTTCAGAATCATCGTCATCGTCGTTATCGTCATCAAACTGTTGTTGTTGTTGTTGCTGTTGATTATGTTGTAATAAAGCATAAGGCCTTTTACCACCCATGCTTGGGTGATAATTAGATGAATCTTCATATTCTTCGTCCTGATATTCATAATCGTCTTGTGCTTTTTTATGCTTCTTCTTTTGCTTCTTTTTCTGCTTTTGCTTCTTGTCTGTTGTGTGAATGGCTGTTGAAGAAGTTGAAGAAGCAGAAGGATTTAGTTTTAATTTTAACTTGATCGTAGGCGTAGAAACTGGGTGAACCGTTTTTTCTTCCTCAGAATTATAATCAGAAAGTTCTGGTGAATATGACATTACAACTGGCAAAAAAAGGCTGTCTCTCTTTTCTTGGCTCAATGGGAGAAATTAAAAAAGAAGTCCTTTTGATAAAAATCGCCGGACTGTAGACTGTCCGATCAGATAAGAAATCAACACAGTCGGGGTTACTAATGTTTCGTCCATTCGAAAAATAAAGCAGCTTTTCCTCCACATCACTTTTACTCCAAACTATTTTGTTTCTTCACACAGTGACTAAAACCCGCGAAAGTAGCATCAAAATATTTCAGGATCCTCAGAGAACAGAATAGAAGTAAAGAAAAATGAAACTGAGCGCTACATTTTATTTAAAGCAGCTTGGATTCAGCCAGCATGACATTTCGACCATGATTGGCATGAAGCGTACAATTGTGCAAGCTGCTACTGATAGAGTGGCTTTCACTGGCACAACTTTAACAGTAAAGAGTACATATAGACCCTCTACCTTTGGCGAATACACTTGACGACATTTGGAATGGGTAATCAGAAGAGATCTGTTCCAAACAATTGACACCATCAAATAACAGCTTTTAGGCTCGCAAAAAATTCCTCCTACAGCGAACTAGCTAATGCTGAAAAGGATATGTTAATGCTAGCAATTTCAATATTCGTAGATCATTATAATTAGATATACTTAATGACTTTAACTTAACCTTGGATTAAACTCTATCATCGATTTAACCAACACAGTACTAAGCAACCAACGATCGTTATTTAGCACTGATGCGTGGAAAGAGCTTAAAAATAGAGTCTATATGTCTCGTGAGATGAATGATATTCCATCTGAAATCAAGATGAAGTTGAGAAAAGTATAGCAGTTGGCGATTCTTGATATAAGAAAAGCCTAAAAGACCTGTTTGTCAAGTTGAATATGCGCTTCTACAGGGAGAAATCTATTTTGAAGTATACTCGCATGCCTTTCGTTTGCTTCACAGGAAAAATTCACCAGTTCACCGAGATCATGCTAAATCAGCCACTGAACAAGATTTCGTTGGTGAAATTTGGTCACCTATTATCACTTCTCTCATACTAAGCCCACAGCACTGATCCACAGCAGCAATGTTTACATAATCTATAGATGAAACTAGCTGATAACATTTATTCTTGCAAATAAAAATAAATACCTTTTTTCCTCCCAAGAATCTCTTTTCTCTGCTCATGAACAGACTCGTTCCATCATGTGGTATTCTTATGCTTCCAAGATAAAATTATTTATTCAATAATATCACAGCTGTGCTGTTTGTTCAGCTGATGTAGACAGACAATTATACTGACTGCATAAAACTAGTTACGATTGTAGCAAGCAATGAAAGGACTCCGTTCGTAGAATATGTGGTATATCTCAGCCGTTTCTCTACAAGCAAACGCCAAGGTAATAATTGTTGAGACGTTGATCATTAGATATACCATTAATGATAGGCGTAATTAGGGAAAAAGAAAGCTGGATGTCTCAGAAAATGGTAAAATAGCTTCTTACATTTAACTTGAACACATTTATTGATATTCTCTGTCAACTTTAGAACATGCTATATCAGTCAAGAAGACATTCAGCTTCATTAAGCCAGCTACTCCTGATGTCCAATACAACATAAATTGTCCAGTGCTTCAACAAGCGGAGAAAGCCAAAATTGCTCCTGTGGTTTATATAAAGATCCGCGACAACTGTCCTTGTGACAACGGAGAAGTCAACAAAGAGTACTTTCAAAACGTGCAGCAAAGTGCATTTAGTTGTTTGAAGAAAAGGTGAACACTATGCGCACGAGGAAATCCACGAGAAGGCTAATGCTACGGGCGCTTCTTCTAGGCACTAAATGGACATCATTTTATAGCTGCATACTATCCAAAGCGTCTGCCTAACCAAAGGCTGTCCAGTGGAATATTCTTTGATATAAAATACGAATTTATCATAATTACACGTGATTGATCTTCGCTCTTTGTTGATTAACTGACAACATAAAATAAAAATACAAAAATAAAAAACAACATCTCTTTTTTTTTATCTCTTTCTTCTTAAAAGATGAATTCATATTCTGCATCAAGGAGCATGGAAAGATATTTGTTCCCTGAACAATCTTAGCTTGACGCTGCACATTCAAATGGTTTGTTGACGATACCACAATAGTGCTTGTAATATTAATCCTCTCGTGGATTTCCTCGTGCACGTAGTGTACACCGAAGAAAATCCCTGCTGCTAGGCAATTATTGCTCGACACATTACAGCAGCCTATGGACAAATTTTTTCTTCTAGCTTGGAAGCAGTGGCTTCAACATAACCTGCTTTGATGAAGAGCTAAAAGTGACTTTATTTGTTCGGCTGGTGATAAATGATTTCTACACCAACTGTGTAAAACCAGTTGCAGCGATATTGAATAACGAAAGAACGCCGTGCGTGGAGTATGTGGTACCTCCGTCCAAGCACTTCGGCGCTTCTTACTGCGCCATTGCTTTTCAATGGTAAAAATCTTAACCAATATGATTTTTAGATAGGATTACTTACTTTTAGTCTTCTTGTGAATTTAGGCGTGAGAAAGGCTTGGAAACAAACCGTTATGTTTCGTTGTACCACACAAACACCACAGGCAGAAAATACCTAGCCGGTGGTGCCGGATGCACAGCGGAACAGTCGGAGGCGCTGTTGATCGAGTCGTCAGGGTAATATATACAAGCTCATACAATAATGATACTGATATGAATGAACTGTACTAATATATATCCACATATATAGTGAGGATGACGACTCGTACACAAGTGAAGATACATTAAAGCTGGAGACGGAAGAGGTAAAGGGTGCTTCTATGGAAACATTCAAGCAACGGCGATTTCTGACGTGCCTGTACGCTGGTGATAAGCTGACTCTAATGACTACCTCACTTGTGGACGTCAACCGCGGAAGATTCGTTGCTGTGGGGTAAGCCGTTGTTCCCAGGACTTGGACCGGGAGACACGCCTGAGGAAAGGCGTTTGAACTTCTTTTTTGCCTCCGGGTAAGTGATTTTTACAGCTGTATAAAAGTCGCTAACTAACATGTTCATATTACTAGGATTTGTTAGAGGAGTAGAAACCAGTCTCCGAACAACTGTCAAAGGAAGACAATGGTTGGATCGAAAATGGTTTCCTCATTTTCGAAAAAATGAAATAAAAAAAAAAATATATTCATGACAAACACTGTATTCATCAAGAAGTCTATGTATTTTTACCGTTGACCACAATGAAGTTTTTATTTGTGTCTCGCCTTCTTCGAACTGGCCAGAACAAAGTGATGTATTTTAATATTTATGAGCAAATGAAGTATCTTTAAACGTATTTCTCATGAAAAGGCTTAATTCCAAAGATTGAATAAACGTTTGGTACCTGTTTTCAAATTGAATCGCACATAGAAAATACTCAATAAAGTGTAACTGGAGCCCATGAAGAACCTTGTGACAATGCGCAAACCCATAATATCTCCAAAAGCTGCTAAGCTTCTCTAAAGTCCTGCTAAACATCTTTCTTAGGTGAAAGAGGCAGGTGTAGGAAGAAATGAAGAACGCAGCTTGGAAGCTGTCTCAAAGAGGAAGATAAAAAAGCTTTTGAAGCAAAGATGGCATCCTGTTCAAACCTGACAGACATGAGCTGGGCTCACATGGGAAATATGCAAGGACAACGTGCTTCAAAATTGATGATAAGCATCTTGATGAAGTTGCCAAATGGCCTTTGAGATATAATGTGCGGCCCGGTGGCAACGAATCCAGACAAAGTGAACAAGCTCTACACCGTGAGATTCTTGGTGATGGGTAAACATTACATAATATTTGAAAACGTTTTCTTTGTATACTTTCTCTACTAAATTTCTTTTCCAGGGCTTGATCTGGAGCTCTTCATCATGAACGTACCAATTGGAAATTTGGTGACAAGAGTTACCAGGAGCACGAGACTCCAGTTCCCCGACAAGGCAAGAAACATCTATGCTGGTTTTCTTCCTCTTTTGGAAGCTGTGTGATGTGGCAAGAAGTTAATGAAAGACATAATAGAAGCGATGGACAGCCGCGAACACAAGTTTTTCGCACTTACCGCAGCGCAGGGACAGGACTATCCAATTGCCCACTACTTTTATTAGTAAATAAATTCTTTTAATGTATGATTAATAAATATAATCTATTTCAACAATGTTAATACTAAGAGTAACTAGAACTGTAACTATAAAAGTGTCTATCGTAAATCTTAAGAGTGTCGTTCTTATCTGCGACGTTGGTTTCTAAAGATAGAGCAATAAAAGGTGCACTTTTTAAATATTAAAGAGGTTCAAGTCCTCTATGCCTAATCTTTGTTATCAGCAGCACAAACTATGACTTCTTCTTAAAAAGAGCTGCTACAGAGTGTTGTTAATTAGATTGTACCTAGTTACTCTATTTGATTACATATCGTAAGATTAAAAAAAAAAAATACTAAACAGCCGCCACAAGCTTATTGTAGTAATAATAACATGAACTATAGATCAAGCCGAGTATATTATTCAATAATTGGATACTCATTGATACTTTTACCATTGTAAAAGAGTATTTGATTCAACAGCCAATCTATTGTCAGTATAGCAGCCTGCATGTATCAAAAAATGGCTACACCAAATTATATACCAAGCCTCAATGTAACCACAGATTCAATGAGGCTAAAGAAAGTGTAATACAAAAAGTTTAAATATCATTGTGCATCTGATTTCCCTCTCGTCTCTCTTTTCTCTTTTTCATATTATTATTTTAAAATAAAATGTCAAACGTAGCAATTGATGCGTACAAGTGTCTTAACGTTCTTGCCCTCATAGGGTTCCTTCTTAATTTTATCGGCGACTTTGTTATATCTCGTATGTTGATCCTCCCATATTATTGTATTCTCTTCTAATCGTCTTTTTGTGATTAGCTTTTTGGTATGCTGTTATACCTGGTGTATTTAAACTGTGAGATTTATATATAATTGATATGTAGAATTTGCTGATCTAATATTATAAAAGTTTACTTTTCCTTGCTCTTTGCGTTGTTGAGTTCACTCAGATCCCCGTATACACCAAACACTGGTCCTTCTTGTATAGTTTCCTTGGTCGAGCTTTGTGTAAGTCGACTGTGTTGTTTATTTATTCTGTGTTCTAACCTTATGCATTAGTTTACATTGTGTAAGTAACAGAGGCTTTTCTTCTGCAGAAAAAAAACTTACTTGTATACATGTAGCTTTTCCATGATCTTTATATCTATAACAACAATTGGATTTGCTGGTTCTATTATTGTAAGCTATATAGCATAAGCCTTGTTTTTTAATCTAAACATGTTGTAGATCTTATTCTGTGGTGTGGTCTATCTTGTCCTTCACTTTGCTCTTCCAGGAAAAGAACCTGCTCACATGTCTTATTCCACTTACCTTACAATTGTTGGAGGCAGCGGTAATTTGCCCACAGCCAATGTTAATGTTCAACAGGTTCAATTGCAGCAGCAGCATCTACCTCCTCCAACTGTTAATGGTCAACAATATCCATTTGTTCATCAATCTCCTTTGCCCACTCATCAAGCTGTCAACCCATCTCCTTTGCCTGCTCACCAAGTCATTAGCCAAGTTCCAAGCCCTGCTCCTTATCATGAACAACAACATGTTGCATCATCTCCAATGCAATCACCATCTACATATGATAGCCAAGAAAAGGTTGAGGTTTCTCATTAATCCCTTTATATATGAATAGTTGCTTTGATTTATCTATTACTATTATTACTATTTTAATTACTACTCACACAATTGCTTATATTTTATCAATAAATATACAGAAAATCCACTCGTTGTTTGTTTCCAAAGTGAGCCACGCGACTATTATATAATGCAAATAAAATATACATAAATTATTTATTGTAAACAGAAACAGGCATTCATATATACAAAGGGACAACTCAGGTGATCTGTCGACTACGTATCTTAAGCTTAATGCGACACATTTGAGAGTCAATCGAATCAAGACGGGATTCTATTTCTTCTCTTCTTCTGCGAACAATAGCATTACCTCCACTAGAAGGAGCCTTACTGTACTCTGCTTGAAGCTAAACAGTGATAATAGGGTTATTATAAGACAGAGAGGTCAATATCACTAGGCTTACAATTTCTTTTTCTCTTTGCAACGCTCGAAGCTGCAGATCCAAATCAGTACCTGACCCATTACTCTCATTTTTCTTTTCTGTCGCTTCATTTGTCTTCTTCTCTGGTTTTTCTTGATTTGCAGCTGATGCCGTTTCTGACTCCTTTGATGTCTTGCCTGTTATTTCACTTGTCTTTTTAGGAGGTGCTTTATTGTTGACTGAAGGGGTCTGTCGTTGTTGTCTTTGCTTTGCCTTGAAGTCAGGCACGGCTAAATCAAGTGAACTATATATGTACAAATGTTGGCAAAGTATTGCTATGTGATTCTTTCTTACACTGTAGGAGAGAGCGTTGAAGATAAATTGGGATCATCACTAAACACGCCCATACGCAAAAACTGTTCCATGGTTGATTTCAATAAACGTACTTGGTTCTGTGAATGTCGTAGTTGAACTGCAAGGGATTTGTCGCCAGATTTTCCAGTATCAATAGAAGGACGACTGTGTCTTCTAAGATCTCTTGTTTCTTTTTCTTTTTCTTCTAGGGTTGATTTTAAGTCTTTGTTTTGACTTTCTAACTTTCTTTAGGAAGATGTTAAAGACAGACTTTTGGACAGCATATGTTTTTCTTACCTTATATATTCTGTAGCATCATTCAATTTATCCATAGTTGAGGACAAATCATCTTGAAATCTTTCTTTCATAGTCTGTTTGATGTGACACAAGTGGTTAATAATGCAATAGACCTAGATCATTTTACTTGCCTTTTCATGGTCTAATTTCTTTTTCAATTCTGAATTTTGTGCAGTTAGCTCCTCTACGCTCTGTGATAGAAACGTGATATCTTTATTGATGGCTGCGACAGATGATTACTTTTCTTTTTTATAGCACATCATAACCTCCTTTACCTTCTTTCTGTTTCTGGAGTGCTCTTACTATGGCCTTTTCTTTGTCCAGCATTTTTTTGAGATGTTCACACTTTGCATCAAACGCTACACTGCTATCAATAGACTTGGCACTATCGATGCGTTTAATTACATCGCCTCCTTGAGTTGATTCAGAAGAAGTATCTGTATCTACTTGTTGTTGTTGTTGTTGGTGATGCTGCATGATGTACTGATGGAGCAACAAATGTTCATCCAATGATAAAGGAAATAACTCTGTATTATCTGTACTGTATAAGTCGTGCTCTGATAGTCTTTTATGAAGGCGATAGTTTGCAATCTTGCGTGATATGGGGCTACAAGCATCTGATGGATCACATATGGACTTTCTGGTTGCTGTGTAATCATCCATACACGAGTCCACAAAAGATAAGGGTCGTCTTTTTCCCTGTGGAAACTGATGTGCGTTGATAATGATTGGACGAAGACCACCATGAGAGGTAGCAGAACGCAAACGCCGTGATGCTGCTGTAGAAGATGGCTGAACTGTTCTGGCAGTCAAATCGTCCTCCTCCTCTACTTCAGACATGCGTGGCTCAGGTGTACCTGTTGCCGCAGGTGTCACAGGCGGTGACGGCAACGCAAATTCAACTTTTAATTCTTTTATCGCCTTTTCTTCTTTTTCATCATGAACAGATTTTTGTTTTTGTATTTGCTGGTCTGCTACAAGTTTCTCCAACTGCTCTTGAAGTATTTGAGTCTGCATTGTATCAGACATGACTGCGGGTGATTCAACTTTTTTTGGAGATTGTAGGTTATTTGCTACGGATGATCGACGACTTTGCCTCATTTTAAATGCTACAGTCTGTGACGAAGTCGTCATTTTGCTTCGGTCACTGGTAGCATCATTTCTGGAAGGCTTTTGAGGCTCTTGTTCTATCAAAAAGATGTTATATGTCTATTCCACATAATCTTTTTTATGGCTCTTTTCGCGCGTTTCATCATCTGTACCTTGTCGACGGTTACTAAGGAAGGCACTTTATGAAAATGAGCATTTTTGTTTCTATATATCTTTTTCAATCACATACCTTAAGCCTGTATTTTTCATCTTCTTTTGTGGATCCACTGTAACTACAAAATGATATTAGTCTAAAAGGAGAAACAAAACACTGACCCTGCTTATTTTTATATTACCAACAATTTGCCTATCTTGCTGCTCAGTGTCTACATTAATATTTTTGTTATGGTTTAAATGAAGTTTTCTTAGAATTTTCTGTGTTGCAGAGGTTGGTTTGGTTGTAGTAGACATAAAGAAAAAAAAAAAAAAGAAGAAAAACAAAAAAGTAAATAAAAAAACAAGAATAACTGTATACCAATTTTTATTCTGTATACTTTAAGGAGGGGGTCTCTTTTACTCCTTAGAAAAAGTAAGCTCAATCACTATCTGAGTCTTCATCTTGTATTTCCTCCAATTTGCCTTCTCTCATAGCTTTGGCAACTGGATTTTCAACATCTACTATGCCTGTCTTTTTCAATCTTTCAAACAACACAAACAATTTCTCGGCCTCTCTTTCTTTCTCTTCATCTGTCATATCTGCTAATGAAGGTCCTGTATCCTCTGCTGATAGGTACTGTCCTGTGATCGGATTGATGTTGTCATTTCCCGAGTTGCTATCTTTTGGTGGTTCCATGGGAATTCCTTTATTTACCAAGAAGCCAATTGCATTGCCATAGCCTACTTGTTGTGTAAACTTGTTTGCTATATAATTAATCTATTAATATAACTGCTTCACACAACGTGCTTGTCTTTTCCCCCCTTTTCCATGTTTTTTTGTTTTTTTGTTTTTTGTTTTTGTTGGCCACCTTCCACACGCCCCTTTTCTTTTGGTTTCCCTTTTGATTATTATTATTATTATAGTTACCATCTTCATCGCATAGTACAAAGTAAGTTTCACAAATAGCATTTCTAGTCTGAGGTAGCATTGTGCTCGTCATCAATCTTATCATGTATGCAGGTAATTTATCGCCTTGATGCACAGGGCGAAGTCGATCTCTATATATTACTCCGTAAATAAAGATGAACGCTAAAAATAAGTTGCATATCTTACTCTTCACTAGGCAACATCTTTTCGGCAAGGCATTCTCTTACTGCAGGATTACCCTCTGCCAAAGTTCTAATAACAAGTAACAGTGGGGAGAGTATTGAATCAATTTGCTGGTATTGATGGTCCAGAGCATCATCATCTGGATTTCCATTAGGGATCAAAGCGTGCACAGACTTGTTGAGCAAATTAAAAAACAGATTGGCCGTTATTTGAACTCCTTCTTCCAAAGTATTGTACAGAGTACTTGTCCATTCAGTCTGTGATCTCCAAACTTCTTGAATAACCGAAAAAGGATACTGCATTAGCGCGTGGATTGCTTGTGAGTGAGGAGGTACCATGGGCTGTGGCTCAGCAGGTGGGATTTCATATAGAATATGAAATATGGGAACAAGACATTGTTTGAAGCGTTCAGCTGTAGTCTGAGGATCCGTCTGATTTCGCAAGTCGACAAGCATAAGATTGAATAACAGTTTCAATGCCTCACTGGTAACTGTTACAGGGTTAATCAAGGTCTGCTGCTCTAGTGGCTTATCTTGTTTTTCCAATATAGACACATTTCTCGTCAATATCTAAAAGAAAAAGCTTGATTAAGCGACTTACAAAGACTATAATTTGATGGTTACCTTTTCAAGAGTTTTCTCTATGCTGTCATTGATTAATTGTGTAACCAAATCAGCTCGATTGACTGTCATAAAAAACAAAATTCGACATACCAAAAACTGCGTGTCTTGACTAGGATTATCACCAAGAACAAGTTTATGAAGAGAGATGATTTCAGAGTCAAGGCATTCTTTTAAATCAGGCTTTAAATAAATAGAGTTGGCTATACATTTTAATGCTTCACATGAACTGGCTGTCTCTTTTGGTTCGTCTGTATGTAGTCCAGCTAGGTTGATGAAGAACTGCATTGTCTACAAAATAGATTTTATAGGGGGACCGCGCCTTTTGTATTGTTCAAGCTTTTTCCTACCTCCTTGGTAAATATGGGGTCGGATCCGGCTGTATCTCGACCGAGAATACGGATAGTAGACAGTGCTTTTGCTTGAGCTTTTGGTTATAATAAAAGGTGGGTTTGAGGTATATATAGAATGTTTATTGCTTTTCTTACTTGTTTCATCCCAGTTCTTTTCTTGTAAGTCATTTAAAAGACAAGTAATGAATCTTGACTTTTCATCTAATGAAGGAACTTTATGCATAAAGCAGTGATCAGAATCATAATTGCTACATGAGTCAAAGTAAAAAAAGACTTGCTTACAGGTCAGCTTGTTTTCTATTCCAGTAAAGAACTCTTCCAAGTTATTGGTGTCTCGCTTTTTCTGATATTCTTCTATTATCATTTTGTTAAAGAGAAGGAAAAAGACCTGCCCTCGATTTCCTTTTATGTATAACTTCATTTGAGAGTTTTCCACTTCTGTTCTTTTTTTTTTTCGTTAGAATATCTTTAAAGTCAAAAATATAAAGCCATCTTTATTTCCAGTTTTACACCTCATCACTTCTATTCAAGGAATTCGCCTTTTCTCTCTCTATTTTTTACGCCTAAAAAAGTTGGCTTGAGCTAAAAAGAAAAAACGCATGTTTGTACCCATTGCGGACATTAGAATGTATACTGCATTGTTTTCTTCAAAAAATATGAATTCATATTGAATACATTACACGAGTAAGTGATCTTGATTGTTGTTATCACTCTTTTCTTTATTATTCAAACTTGTACGATAAAAAAGACAGTAAAATAATAATATTAATCTTCACCTTCTTGAGTGAGAGAGGAGACAAAGCAGAAACAAGAGAGTGGGAACAATCAAGATCACTTACTCGTGTAATGTGCTCAATACTTGATAAATTTGTGTTTACATAGCATTATATTTTGTAAGACGTGATCTTTGTTGTTAATCCAGAGCAGGCACTAAAATTGGCAGAAGTAGCTGAGAGCAGTCGGTAGATCTCTGGGAACAAAGAGTGAGCAATGTGACAGTCTGACTGAGGCGATTCGATGCTTGTACTCCTCGGAAACGACTACGGGACATAGGAGAGAGTCCATGTGTGAATGAATCGTGATGATTTTCCTCACACGCTGGTCTTGGCGTTTCTCCTTGAGGGCCACGATACGCAGAAAACCTTGTCGGGCGAAACCGTAGTCATGTCTACATCCACGTGTTCCAAGTCTGAGGGCCATAGAAAACCAGTCATAGCAAAGATCTAGCAAGCTTTCGCCGTCAACTGCACCTTGTTGAGAAATGAATTGGGATCCCCAAGATTTGAGGTATTGAATAGCAGGAGTAACAACGCAGGGCCAGCGTTTTGGAGAAAGAGTGGTGTTTAAGCGTAGTGCTTTAATACAGACTTGATAGAGTCTGGAACTATTTACACGCTAGATACATCGTATACATAATATATATCAGCTTAGAGACTCGCTTATTTAAATGGTCTAGAAGCCTCATTGAGATATAACTGCAAGGGTAGCACTTTGACATTGAATGAAAAGCTCCACAAAGTATAGAAAAGTAAAGCCTCTACGCATCAATAACCATATGTCAATAGAACACTTACTTCATAAATACATTATTCTTTTGCCCCATTGTCTTTTACGTTTAATACTTTTTTCTTCGGCAAATATTACATGTTGATATGTAAGCAACGTTCCGTTGGTGCTCATTTCCTTTGAAGAAAGCATTGATTGTAAACGATGCACCAGCCTTGATTTGAGAAATTTGCAAAGACTTGAATAGTGGGTTGATGTGTCAGGATATGTTGTCCATTCCATTTTGTGAACTGTGTAGTCCACCATACGAACTCCTGCTTGATCTTTGGATTCAAGAGACATTGGCGTTGGTGACGGAAGAAATTCAACTGGGATACCATATGTCTCGTGCGGAAGCGTGCTTGTTGACTGCATGGATACTTGTCCATCATAATTATCATGACAGACTCATCAATTTCTGTGTTGTTTCAGTAATACGCTTCAAATTGGGTTGTAAATATCCAGCCTTCTGAAAAACAATAATTGTTTCCAGTAACTCTGGTGCTATGACCTTGTTGATGCTACCTTCTGCGCCTTATTTGTTTTGTGCCTCTTTCAATAGCATATTACTATTCATATTGCTTATTTCGCACATTTTTTTTGTCTATTATATCGGTCAAGGGGGCAGGAACGACTTCGCTTTCAGCACGGCCATTTTCTTCTTGCTGTTCAAAATAAAGTGCTTTTAATTTTTTACACTTTCTATTGCTTCTCTGATAGGTGAATGGACCCTTTTTTTTTTCTGCTGTATATATTGCTGCTTCTATCGCTTTTTACAACAGTGCTTTTTTTCTATGAGATCTGGCTGCTTGTTCCATGACTACATAGTTATGTTCGTCTTCAAACTAAACATGATTTTATAAATTCGCGGTTATTGCTGTATTTTAATTTTATCTATGCTGTCAATTTAATCAGCAAAGAATCAAGATCATTCAAGAGTAATTATAATAAAGTCATACTTTATATCAATGGACAGCCTTAGGTTAAGTAAAGACTTTGGTAGCGTGAAATTGCATAATGATAACATAAGAAGCGCCCATAGTATTAGCCTTCTCGTGGATTTCCTCATGCGCGTAGTAGTCACCAACTATAAAACATCAAATGAAATAAGCAAAGCCGCTATTTGACACTGCAGCATTGTATTTCCTTTCTTGATGAGGCACGTAGAACTTTAAAGCTCAAGCAGTGCAGAGATACAGCTGGACATAATGTTACACGTTTACGTGTCCCGCCTAAAAAAAAAAAAAGGTAAGGAATGTGTTGTATCACAAAAAGAAGCTAAAGGAATTGTCTAATTCATTCGAGAAGCTTATGACCATGTGGATGAATAGCTGGGATAATTGTGACATATTGAAATTGATCTAGGTACTAAGAGACGGTGTAAAAATATGTACAAAAGGAGTAACATGAGATCTGTTATAGTTTCAGACGTATAGACGCGTCAATACATATTGAGGTAACCACCGACTTGCTTGCATGTGGGGTTGATGTTCTTTACCCAGCTACAGTATGAGGTAGTACTGCTGACGTTTGATAAAGACCACACTTCAATACAAAAAAAAAAAACGAACTGCTGACGTTTGATTTTTACAAAAAAGGTATTATCTACGTATTCAGTTCAGATCGTGCGATTGGCATTAATCATAGACAATATATAAATATCATTGAAGTTATGTTTTTTTCTCTTCTTTTTATCTTTATACAAAAGAGATTTACAGCCATGTTATCAAAATCAAACACACTTCCACAGATGCAATATGTCCGCTTCGGTAACACGGGTATGAAGGTATCGCGATTCTGTTTAGGATGTATGTCATATGGATCGTCCAAGTGGCTAGCCTGGGTAAAGGATGAAGAAGAATCACTTGAATTGATTGGTAAAGCGTATAAAGCTGGTATCAACTTCTTTGATACTGCCAATATGTACTCAAATGGGGAGAGTGAACGCGTTTTGGGCAAAGCTATAAAGAAGTTCAATATGCCAAGATCTCGTATCGTTATTGCTACCAAGCTTTTCTTTCCTGTCATAGCTGAAAAGGCCCATGGCGATGAGCTTGAAGGCGTTAATGACAAAGGACTGTCCCGCAAGCATATCTTTGATGCTGTGGATGCTTCCCTCAAGAGACTGGATGTTGATTACATTGACCTTTATCAAATTCATCGATTTGACCCTGTAAGAATGAAATCTTTTATACCTCAAAGTAATCTTGACCATCTTTATATTATATAGGAAACGCCACTTGAAGAGACCATGGAGGCTTTAAATGATTTGGTTCGCTCTGGTAAAGTCCGATATATTGGCGCTAGCTCAGGTTACGCATGGCAATTCCAAAAGGCAAATGCTATTGCTGAAAGAAGAGGGTGGGCCAAGTTTGTGTCTATGCAAAACCTGTATAATTTACTTTATCGCGAAGAAGAACGAGAGATGGTTCCTTATTGTCAAGACAGTGGTATTGCTATTATTCCTTGGTCGCCTTTGGCTAGAGGCTTATTGACTGGCAAGAACAGAGAGTCCATCCGCTTACAAATGGATGGATACATACCGGCTCTCTTCCAAGACAGGCAAGCCCAGAACAACGATGAAATTATTGACAGGGTCATTGAATTAGCAAAGAAATACAATCGTCCGCCAGCTCAGGTAAGAAAAAACCTCCATGGCAGCTATGCTTAGCAGTGTAAATAACAATTTTCTTCTTTATAGATTGCTTTAGCATGGATGTTATCCAAGCCATACATCACTTCTCCAATTGTTGGTGTTGGTAAAGAATCACATTTACATGATTTACTTTATGCTCTGGAAGTTAAGCTAAGTAATGAAGATATTAAATACCTTGAAGAAATATATACTCCTCATGAAGTAGCCCGTGTCTAACACATAAATATATTAAAGACCTATTTACATAAAAGCTAAATAAATGATGGGAGCTTTCTCTTTAAAAGTATAGGGTGCTTAGTCTTTCAGAAGCCAATAAGCTGATTTAATAGTCCTTTATGCTTATTCAAAAGCAATTGAAGGCTTTGTACAACCTATCAACCTTTATGATGCAGCTGTCGCCCATGAAAATTGACGATTGATATTATGACTCGTTTTATTGTTTTATTTTGATATGCCAGATTATAATTTAATTAGATTTTTATTTATAAACAATTAAAACCTCTAATGAGCGCACGATTGTAATATTATATCTTTTCCCGCCTGAAGCAGTTCAGAAAGGAAGGATAGTGGTGACTAAAAAAACCCTTTTGGGATCAGGTATAAAATACGCTAGTGAGAAGGAGAAGAGAGAAGCCATTCTGAGTCTTTGCCCGAGGTAAGTGGGCGGGGTAGACGGAAGTTTAGCGTGGTATAGGTAATCGAGTTCATATAGGATTCTGCATATAGTTGGCCAGTGGATGGTCCACGCGATTGTTATGTTAGGAAAGCGATATTTTCTGGTAGGTAGTGTATTTAAAAGGAAGGATAATGGGTCAGAAATGGTTTGGGCTATCATGAGTCCGGTACATCTGGAGACAGTGAATGGCATGGGCTTTGTGAAGGGTTGGCCAGGGCGCCGAGGGCAGGTTTTGTATCGACCACCAGGGAGCCAGCCAAGACGCCAACGTATGCAGCGACTTCTTTCAGGCTTGGACATAGGTAGCCATAGGACAGGGTCGAGAGAGATAGTTGGGCAACAGTGCGTAAGGAGAACGGAGGCATGCGTATAACGTTTATTGTTGAGGTTGTCTTGGCAGTATTCTCGTTGCATCGACCTTAAAGAGCGACGATCCAGAGACTCTGGGTTGGGGGAATATCTCTTCCAAATGGAAGACCTAGAGGGCTTATACCATTGGGAGTAGCTTCGGAGTCAGCGGATAAGTGAAAGAAGACGGCATAACAGAGCATCTTCTGGAAGAGCAAGGGAGCATAGGAGGAACTGAGACTGTAGAGTATAAGTATGTTCCTGCATGGCTGGTAGCTTCAACATATATAGCATTATCGTGATAGAAGATGTGTGAAAGCCACCGAAAATCCGACGCAAACAGACGTTTTGGGCATCTTCCAGCTGCTTGCTAAGGAATGTAGTGATCTTGGTAATGGCCAGGCCGTATTCCAGTTGAGCACGAACAGTGTGGCTGTAAAAGCGGGTACCAAGGAGGGGAAAAAAGCATTTAGGTCAAACACCGATAGCTGAAAATTGGTTCATAATGGCAAGGGCTTTAGTCTTGTTTTGATTGACCAATGCAACAGTATAGAGATAGCCACCAGGGCGAAAAGGTATTCCGAGGTAAGGAAAGGAAGGTTGCTTTGGAATTGGTTCGCCATAAAAGGTGTAACTTGGAGGCAGTTGCGTTGGGTCTAATATAACGCATTTACTTGTGTCCTATCGGTACCCAAGCTTGTAGCTATGATCTTCGCAAGATTTGAGGAGATTTGGCATGTCGGCTTTATCAGCTATGAGAACCACGTCATCAGCATAGAGGAGGCAGTTCAACTGGAGGATAAGTTCTGCAGAGGAAGCGCCCGTAGTTATAGGTTGTGGGCGCAGAAGGCGAGGCAACTCGTTAATGTATATAGAATACAACAACGGAGAGAGGATTGACCCTTGTAGGACACCGGTGACTGGCGAGAAGCGGGTATATGTTGCATTGTTGAGCAGCACTTCTATTTGGACCTCGTCAATAAGTTTCGCAGTAGGCTAACGAGTGCCGCAGGTGCTGTTTTTTCTAGTGCGTGCCATATTTGGCGGCGACCCACAGTGTCGTATACTGACTTGATATCCAAGAATGCCAGTACTGGGGTTATGCGGTATTGACGACGGAGAATGTTGCATATCTCAGCTAGGTAAAGGGCTTGATCTAGAGATCCTCTAGATTCGCGGAACCCGTCTTGGGCTATGTCCAAAGGAAGACTGTAGTCAAGCAGAAAGTGATGGATACTACGTTCTAACAGCTTTCAGAAGACAGACGTGAGGCTAATAGGTCGATGATTGCCAGGCTCATTCGGGTCATCCTTCTTGTAAATCGGTGCTACTTGGGCCAAACGCCAATCAGCAGGTGTGTAAGACCATGTCCAGCATAGCTGAAACAGAAACAGCAGTATTGGGGCAAGGGCGGGCTGTAGAGTAGTGGGCATCTCTTGCCGGAGATGACCAGGGCCTGGCGCCTTCTTAGACGGCAGCTGTCTAAGAGCATCTTTGACATCATCCAGCAAAACTGGGCAGGCATCTTGCGAAAAATGAGTTGAGTGACACTGCAACGAGTGATCTTCGTCCATAACTTGGAGTAATCTGCTGGATTATACACCATTTTCATAAATTATTCGCACATTACAAGATCAATAACAATTACATTTTAGTTGATTATCAGCACTTTCTTTATTATTAAAAAGGCAGTGAATTTTGTCTTTTTGAGAGAAGAAAAGATAAACGTGATCAAGGCTTTATACAAAATGAAAAGCTGTTAGAGACCTTGTATAAATAGTCTGATTTTGACATTTTTCTTTTCTTTTCTTTGGACCAAAAAGTAAGACCAGCTATTCCCCAGCTAACCCTAAGGTACGTTATATTCTTTACTCTTGTAAGAAACTGACGTGTAGTATTATAGATTAACCATCGAAACTAACCCGGTGTTGGCTGGGGATAGTCTGGTTCTTACCAAAATTTGGTCCCATACACTCCTTCAACCCTTTCCGCTTCTTTGGCTCTTCTCTTGTCTCTTGCTCTCTCTCTCCCTTTTTTCTTTCTTTGCTTTTTCCGAGCTGGTTATCGCCAGCCCAACCCAGGACACATTTCGGAAAAGATATTAATAACTTCTTTACATATCTACTCACTTTTCTTGTTTCTCTTTTTCTCTTATAAATCCTCTTTATAATGTAAGTATTTAATCATCATACATTTCAATGCTCTCTGTGTGTGCGTGTATTTATTAATTCTCCGCAAAGACATTGCAAGTCACTCTTCCCTAGAGTAATTACCACACCCACTGTTTTCTTATTTTAAAAAAGTCTCTTTTTTCTCTTACCCTCACCCACGCGCGTGCATTTGAAGAATGGTGCTTACAAGTGAAGAAGTAAACATAATAATTTACAAATATTTGCAGGAATCAGGTATAAAACTAAAAAGAATACGACTTGTTCTAAACTAACATTATTGTTATTCATTATCAGGTTTTCGACATACTTCATTTGCGTTTCAATATGAGAGTCAAGTAGAGAAATCAGCTTATAGAGATACACACATTCAGCCAGGAGCATTAATAAACATCATTCACAAAGGCCTTCAGTTTATGGAAATAGAAGCACATATGAATGAAGAAGGCGAATTGATGGAATGCACCGTTCCATTCTCGTTATTAGAACCTCATCACTGTGAATTAACCGGAAACACATTCAACACGGAACCTGTGAGAACAACAAAGAGGCAAAGAAAGGAAACTGAGAAAAAACAACAAAAAGAACGAGAGAAAAGAGCAAGGAAGGACGTGGGAGACGACGAAGAGTCAATAAAAGAGGAAAATGAGACAGTGAAGAAGGTGATAAAAGAAGACGAAGATATGGCAGAGAATAATCCAATAATACCTGCGAATACGACATCAGAGTCATCGTTACCAACGAAAATCACAGAGGTTGATCCGGATGACGTTATTATATTAAAGGGACATAAAAGCGAAGTGTTTTCTTGTGCTTGGAATCCTGTAACTACGTCTCTTCTTGCTTCGGGGTAATTTTACATTCATAGATGTCATTCTTATCTAATGCACGCCTTTTAATAGTTCTGGAGATGCAACAGCAAGACTATGGCATGTACCAGAAGACAAGAACGAAGCAGCCAATTCTATCACACTGAATCATTTACCCAACTTGAACGATAATAAGGATGTAACAACACTAGATTGGAATGTAAGAGAAATACTATTTTTAAAATATAACAAATAATGAACCTTTATTATGCAGCCAACAGGTACCTTATTAGTCACTGGGTCGTATGATGGACAAGCAAGGATTTGGACACAAAAAGGTCAATTACGTTTTGTTATGGCACAGCACAGAGGGCCGATCTTTTCCTTAAAATGGAATATGAAAGGAGATCTTATATTGAGCGGCAGTGCAGACACAACAACGATCGTTTGGGACCCTGAAACTGGAGAAATGAAGCAGCAGTTTGAACATCATATGCGTAATGGCAAAGAAGAAGAAAAATTGCTATAAACATTTACTAAGAAAACTTATCTATAGTAGCTATTCTCGATGTGGACTGGATGGATAACACAACGTTTGCTTCTTGCTCGTCAGATAGAACAATTTATGTTTGTAAAATTGGACAAACAAAACCATTAAAGAAATGGGTGGGTCATGAAGATGAAGTCAATGCTGTTCGTTGGGACCCATCTGGTCAATATTTGGCCTCTTGTTCAGATGATATGACAGCCAAGATTTGGTCATTATCATCTGATAAACCAATACAGCAGATTAAGGGTCATACTTTGCAAATCTATACCTTGCAATGGGCTCCTAATCAACAAAAGGATGGCGCCAAGATTTTGGCCACTGCCAGTTTCGATTCCTCCGTACGTCTTTGGGATGCGCTGAGTGGAACGTGTCTCTATGTATTGAATAATCATACAGAGGCAGTGTATTCTATCTCATTTAGTCCTGATGCTAGTCTATTAGCCTCTGGTAGCTTTGATGAAGTATTGAATGTTTGGGATACAAAGGTAAATGAAGATAATATTCATATATATATATATATACTTACCTTTGTTCATTTAGGATGGTACATTAAAGAAGACATACAAGGCAGATGGAGGTATATTTGAAGTACACTTTAGTAAAAACGGAGAAAAGTTAGCAGCATGTACATCCAATAAGCAAGTCGTTATTTTAAATCACATGAACAAATAGAAGAGGGCATGAATCTTGCCTCTCTTTCTTTCTTTCTCTTTTTTTTCCCTTTTCTATTTCTTTACAGTTGTATTTAATAATAAACAAGTTATTATATAATGAATTGTGAATATTGCCATGTTGCAAGTCGTAAATTCTACTGTGTAGATTGCATTGAAGAAAAGTAAAGAATGAAGGCTGTAGACTTGAAAGGATTTTAAAAATAATTGTCTAGATTAGCAGAGCATAAACAAGAAAAAGAACTTGCTACGAATGAAAAGAATCATGTTGTCCAACAAGCAACATTATTTCTTAATCGTGCCAGTGTGATTCAAGCACTTTTAGCAAAGAAAAATAAGTTATGCATGGGCTTACAAACAATACAAACACAACAGGTTCAACTTACAAAAGAGATTCACTCAAGTAGGCATTAAGTATATATATATATACATGCATATCTTATGCTAACTTTCTTGTTTAGAAACAACACGGATATCCGATTTAAAGCGGACTATAGAGGCTAAAAGACGCGCATTAGACCTGGCTGAGGCTAGATATAAGAATAGTATAGCACGGTTAAAAGAAAAGAACAATATAGACATGATAAGATCTTGGCAACGTCTGCACAAGATGACAGTAGGGACAAGAAGGATCTTAGTCAAGGAAGTAGCGTCTTTATTTGAACTAAAACCAGGCGTGATTGAGGAAACTGTAGCACCAACAACACCTATAGAGGATGATAGAGCACCATTTAGTAAAAGGCCGATGAGCTTGTTAAATAAAGAGGATTTGTATATATGCGGCGTAACTTTACCAACTAAGCTCATTGATGTATCCAGTAAGCAGTATCTTTGTTATATGCACACACATAATCACCTTTTATATATATGACAATAGAATATCCAAAAGAAGAACTAAATGCTCCAATAAACCTGGTTACGCATATGCTACGCTTAATCGTTCACTACCTGGGCATCAAATTACCCTTCATGATTTTCCAAAAGGGAATTCATTCCTATATCCGTATTGCGACGCCAAATGCAAAACTATGGCACAACAACAACAAGATGCCTCTATTCTTGGATGATGAAGATAGAAATTTTCGACGATTCGTGATTGGCATGGCTATGCTAAATTATGATATTGCTTATTTATGTTATACCCAAGGAATAGAAATATCACTTAGTCAAGTAGCAAACACACTACAAGGTTTAATGGCTTGCTGTTATTCATCTAAACTTGGCATGTAAATAAAGGTGTCATAGGGACATAGGAGGACGATACTAATGGTTGTTATAGGCAATCGCATGCCATTGTATACAAAGGCATAAGAGATCTAGAATTCCCTGTAGAGTTTCAGCAAGTGCTCAGAATGACTGCACTACGATACAGGTCACAGCACGCAATCGATCGATCCTCAGATCAATTAGACGATTTATTGCTCTACTTGGACAGTGATGAAGAGATGGAAAATGATGATAAAGAAAAGATGGACAAGACAGAATCCAGTCCTGCGATAGAACAAAGCGAGCATTGGAATCTGGTGGACGTCATGCCATCATTTCGTCTTACGTAAATACCCCACGAAAAACACTGCTTTTTCTTAAAATGAAGCCATATTTCTTTTCCTCTTCTTTGAACCACATCTACTACTATCGGCCTTTATCTTCTTTGTATTTCTAAATGAAAATTTGATGCAAGTTGCTCTTCATAATTACTACTCAACACAACTTCTTTATAAAGCTCTTCTACTTGAAATTTCCAATAATCGTTAACTACATTATGTCTTACATTTTGCACAGCTTTTGTTGACATCTTTAGCTTTTCAACCATATCCACATGTTCAGATTGTAGCTTTTCATCGCTTGATACTTTAGTATAAATTGAACCTTTAAAAAGAAAAGCGCTAGGGTTTCTTTTTTTACAAACATTTACTTTTTTCACTTCTTTCAACATCATATTCAGTACATCGCTTTAGGAGAAGCATATGCTTGCAAAGTCTGTTTCAGTAAAAGCCTGAAGTACTATAAGCCCTAATCATAATATTTTCAATGGCCAACGCTACATGCACCAAAAAATAAGCTAAATAATGTAAATACGAATTTATCATAAGTGGTCTTTGTTAATCGGGTTGGCAACATAAAATTATCTCTTTCTTCTTGAAAAGAAACAAACCAAGATGGCCATTTTATAAAGCCATGCTTAGCGTGGCGTCACACATTCAAAGGTTTTGTTGGAAGGCATCATAAGTAATGGGTAGAGGTAGCGCCCGTAGAATTAGTCTAACTTCTGGTGTATGTAATGTTTCCCAAAAAGAAAGACACTAGGTTTAAAAGAAAAGCTGCCACAAAAGCAGTATTTTTCGTAGGGTATTTACGTGGACGCCATCATTTCATAGAGGAAATAAAGCAGAGAATGCATTTCAGCAGGCAGTAACTAGCTTTATACCAGGAGTAGTGAGCGTTATGGAATCATTAAACTAGCATTTTCGACCTGGATTTCTGATAGAGGTAAACGATATCTGTGATAAACATTCCCTTTTATTTTTATGGTAGAAACGCGTGTACACACACATTCGTGGAATGCATAGAATAATAAAGATAGTATGATGAGATATATAAATGTGTATATGTGAGTGTATTTACAAGAGTCATAAATTAAATAAAAATATAAATAAAATTAGTTTGCTTCTGTAGCCACAGCAGGCAAGTTTTTGTTTATATTAAGGGGTGTTTTCTCTTTTAGTCGTCGAGTTGCCTTTTCGTTGCCATGATCAGCTGCCTTTTTATACCATACCATGGCCTCATTTATATCCTTTGGTCGTCCTATACCCATTTCTGCAAAGTAACCTAAAGCAAATTCCGCTTTAGGCAAACCCTTTTCTGCAGAGAGTCTAGCCCACTCTAACGCCTTCTCTTCCGACACTTGCAATCGATCGCCATCACCGACGAGATACCATGCGGAGAGAGCAAATGCCGCGTCTGGATGACCACGCTTAGCAGCAATTGTGTAGTAATATACAGAAGTGACTGAATCTTTAGGGCAACCTAGATAACCATACTCAAAACACTGACCGAGTCGATAAGCAGAAGGAGCATACCCTAATTCTGCAGCTCTAGCATAAAGTTGAACTGAATACTTAGGATCCTTAAAGATGATATCGTCTAGTCCCTTTTCGTGCAATAAACCAAGTTCGTGAAGCGCATGAGGATATTCGGGGGTAGCAGCATCTGCAGATCTTTTCAGCCATTTATTGCCGTCACGCACATTACGTTTTAGACCCAAATCGCCATTGAGTTCAGCCAAGCCTAATCGATACATTGCACCAGGATGATTTAATGTGGCTGCAAGCCTATATTAGCACGTAATATTAGAAACTAAAAAAAATAGATTAATAAAATCACTGTCACCTGTAGTATTGATATGCTTTTGACTTGTTTTTTAAGCAGCCTAGACCATCTTCATAACACTTTGCAGTTCTAATTGGTTGCAGGTTAGTTGCGTTTGCCCTGGACTCTCTCTCTCTCTTGCACTCATGTATGACATAAGCTATATGTAAACCACATTACCTGTATGCAGCGTCAGGATGTTGATGTTTAGCAGCTTGTACAAATAAAGGAAAGGCATGGTTGAAGTCTGGTTTGTGAGATTTAGATAGATTGCCTGAAGCATAGATATTGGCCAGATAATATTGTGCTTCACCGTGACCTTTAAGAGATAAGGACTTTAAGATCTTGATAGCTTCCTGCATGTACACTTTGTTGCCAGTTGCCTTGGAAGATTCATAAAGATAAGTAGCAAGATCCCATTGGATGTTTGGATCATTTATATGCTTTGCATTCTCTCGATACATATTGATTGTCTTTTCGTAATCCAGTAGCTCAGCATTGTTTCCAGGCTTTAAATGGGTGTGATTTAAAAAGATATCACTTGTACTAACAAGATGTGTAGGAGGCGTTGGAGGCATATTGGGAAGACTAGTTGTACTACCACTCGTGCTTGTGCTGCAGCTTGCGTTGGACACTCTAGGCGACAGCACAGGCGTGGAGTTATTCATGAAATATTGCTGATTGTTGCTCCTTGCTGATTTAATTGAGCTTGCAGAGCTTTTCAATTTATTTTTGATAGCGAGCATGCTGTACTGTCAAGATGGAAAAGTGAAAGAGAAAGAGAAGAAAAGGGGTGGACAGCGGAAGGCGGGTAAAAAAGAAAGTGTTATAAATAAACTTTAAGCGGAACTGTTGGATGATATTTATTTTTATACCCTTTTACCTTTTAAATAGTTCGCTCCGTCCTTTTTATTTTGTTTTGATAAATGGCCATTGCATTTCATTATGCATTTACCTCCTCTTTTTCTTGTACTGAATAAAGGACAAGCATGTCAATTCGTTGGGTAGATAACCGTTGTTTAAGAGCCATATGCAAATGTCAGCTTGTGCTCACTGTGACATGCCACTCTTCACGAGCCAATGTTGCTTAAAGTAAAATGGCATAGTGACGAAAAAATGCTGTCATGACTATAGTACGCCAATAAATAATTTCAGAATTAGACTTTTCCAGACTAGTTCACTTTTTTGGGAATCCAACAAAGAATAAAATTTTTGTTGAATGTTACCTCAATGTTTGGTAACTGAATGTCAATGATCTGTGAATTAGATCTCAGAATAGCAAAATGTACTTTTTAGGGCCGTATTTGATAGCCATCCACTTTGACAGTTGTAGTTGATGCTCATTAGATGTCACTGTTAATTTTTGTATATTCTAATGCGATCAAAACGGCGCTACAATAATTATAGTACTGCTATTTCCTCTCTTGTATTTGTATGGGCTTACGTATCAATTAATGACAATGCTTGACTCGGATATTGACAGATACATAGCAATTAAGCACTTTTACTTTCTTTACATAGAATGAATGGGCACTATATATAGTTTTTTTTTTCTTTTTACTTACGATACACGTGCTCCCTTTTGCGAGAACCTAAAAGTGTTAGTCAAACATGTAACAATTGAACACGCTCTTTTCTTTTTATCAGCAGCTTCATATCATCATGCAGCCAAGTTCTATAAAGATTCCCCGAGGCTCCGGACTGCGGCTTGAATTAATCAAAGAGGGTAATAATGAACATTCCCTACAGTCTACGGTTAAGGAAAAAGAATCATCCTACAATCTAAATATAAAGTTCAAAAGTACAGCCACATGGACAGTAGAATTCTGAAATTTGTACACAACAGCTGATAGAATAATGGGTATGAAAAAAAAAAAAAAAAACTATCATGAAACTCAACGAGAAGAGGAAAAACGGCGCCAGAAAGAGTATAAAAAAGAGTTTCCAGAATTGCTCGTAAAACAGACCGTATTTGACCGGAATATTATGACCGAACGCAAATATTCTATTCTAGGAATACAACTAAACCCAATGACTTGGCAAGCTAATGTATATCTAGAAGCACAATGAGTACAATTAAGTGTAATGTAGTAGAAAGAGACAAACACATTTGCTCATTTAATAAGCTCCTTCTTTTCTATTGTCTCTTTTATGCGAAAAAAAAAGATGTACTTTAAATGCTTATAGAAGCATCAAATGTGGTATATTTTGTTTCTTTTCTTTACAATTGAACGCCATGTACAAGAAGCTTTGCCAGAGGATTTAAACTCAAATATCCAATGGAAGCTGCACTGTCGTACACGAATATAAAATCCTGCTATGTGGAAGGAAAGATTGTACAAGAAACTTTATAGCATGGCTCATAATTGTACATAAAAGAGTTTGTTAGAAAATAATAAGGGGCTCGAACGCCATATTTTATTGGAAGAAAATCAATATAAGGCTAAAGACTTCTTTTAGTTCTCAAAGCAATCCTAAATTATTTTGATTAACAGAGCCAACTGCGAGAAGATAGAAGTTTATCAGACCCCAAACAAGCATATCCCCAGATCCCTACCAACAAAAAGATGTTGGGTGGTGTTCACTTTTCTGCGTATTGTAAAAGCAGCTGTAGTAGGCCACTTGAACTCATGCACTGGACAATCAACTAATTTCTGCCGAAGCAATGAACTGTTGAAAAACCCTGTCAGCCCACGTTTGCAAGATAACTTCAAGATTACATTATCAAGCTCACACTACAGCTTTGGGTCTCGGCCGGGCACGTCCCTTAGGATAGCGCACTGTGGGAAGACTTCTTTCTGTAGTAAAAAAAAAGGAAAAAACTCCTAGAAATTAATATTTTGCGAGAGAAAAGACGCGCCGTCACCTGTAGCGTTACCGATGGAATCTATTTTTTCGCCGGGCGTCGCCGGTAGCGTCACCGTAACCGGTAGTGTTACAAGCCAAAAACGCAAATTGAGGTTTTGCAAAAAAATTATAAAGACGCAAATTGGTGCAGTGAGCACTGTAAAATATTTAATAACCGCATATTTAAATTCCCGTATAAGGAACAGGACAGACCATTACGATGCATAATACACGATTCATATGAAATTACACAGATTTAAGCTTTTTGGCAGTTGTACAACGACAATGATATGTACATTAAGGTAAATGAGGCAAAGGAGGTGGAGGGGGTGAAGAAGTGATGGAAGGTCGATTTACAGGAGAAGAGGAACTAGAAGAGCTTGAGGTAGATGGCTGCCTGTATTTTTGATTTCGTTCATATCTTGAAGCATATTGAGTAGGTACATTGTTTAATAATCTACCATTGGTCAAGTTATAATTGACACCGCCCATGACATCTGTTGCTGCCCTACGACGGCTTCTGCCTGGCTTGTTAAATCGCGCAGGTTCAAACGTTTGCCAGACATATTGAGAACATTTTGAAGCATTTGGTAAGTCTTGTATCATTTTGGCAATCGTATTTTTACGTAATCCAAAGAAATCTGGCCCAACTGGGTTATGGCCATATTCTTGATTCCTGATTGCAAATGCTCGTCTATATTTGGTTCTATGTGAATATAAATGTAGGTGTAACGCATTTGATAACATACCGAACAATAATTGTCCAAACTGTGGTCGGCGTAGGACCTGAGTAAGTCATTGGACAATCATCTGCTGTCACTTCAAATTTAGGTTCTCTTCCATTATCTAATATACGACAAGTATATTGTGTATCACTCTTAGGATCCACCATACTTCGGTACCATCTAGAATCGAATAAGTATAAAATTTGATGAAATAGAATGATACTTTACTTGCGAACAGTATAATTTACAGGATATATATATCTTTGGTTGTGATAAGCTGGCCTATCATATACAACCGTGCCCAAGTTAATCACTGTCCAAGAATCAATCTCGACAGGCAAAATGTAGGCACCTTGGCTATCTTTTTCTACTTCATAATATGTTCTGACGGTAGTACTGACTTGTTTCGAATAAAGTGGCGCATCTGCATAAACATTTGGCGTCTTTCTTCGTCTTTTGTTTTGTTGTTCTTGTTCAACCGTCTCTGGTGAAGATGAAGAGGATCTTTCGGTGATGGAAGTAAAAGCAGATTTTCTGATATCAGTGCCAGTTGTGTGTAAGGAAGGTAGTTCTTTTGACTGATAGGAAGGAAATATAGGCTCAGGGCGAAAGACAGGTACGGAGGATAGTGATGGCAATGTTGGTAATTGATCCGATTGTTTTTTATCGGCTTCGTTTCCTTTTTCGATTAATCTTTGTGGAGGAGAAGGTGTAAGTCGTGGGTATGGGTCATCAGTAGTGTAACATTTACATATTGGATGTAAAGGAGTTGATGTGCATGATTTAATTTGTTGAAATGATTTGGATTTTAAAGCTGAAAAGAAGTCGTCTTTTGCCCATTTCATAGTCTATTATTGATATAAGTATGAAACGCCCAATACACGCGTGCCCTTGTGCATTTTAGGACAATGTAAACAATTACCGGTTGAAGATCAATATAGACATCAATTATTGAGTTGTCTGCATAATTTGGCTTGCCATATATTTGTATCTCTTGTTCAATGATCCATGACAGTAAGCCATGTCCCTCCCAGATGATGCTTGATTTTTCTTTAGAATTTGTTTCATAGAAATTTGCTGTATAAATGGATAAATCATGATCTCTGCATATAATGTCCGGACTATGTGCATGTTTATATTTTATTGTTACAATGTTTGCTGTTATGTATAATACCTTGAGGAACAAATGGACCATAGACAATTTGATAGTGACACTGGTATCTTGGATACATCTGCAGGATTGCTGTGTGTTGTCATAGTAAATGTAGTGAATCGAGTAGAATTAGAGTTGCGCAATGTGTAATATATTTTAACTGTAAACATATACAAAAATTATTAAAAGGGTACAGTTTCATTGTAGTCATAAGCTTACCTTTGATCTCTGTCATTGTAATCGAATGATGGGTAGTGATAATAATGGAAAAGAAAAAGAAAGAGAAAAGAAAAGGGAAGAATAAGGTTATAAACAAGAGAGAGAGAGAGAGAGAGAGAGAGAGAGAGAGAAAGGGAATATCACAGATTGCTGCTTTTCACATTTTAAGAAAGGTGCAAGTGGGTCAATGTGTTTCAATACTAAACTCCCTACATGTCTGAATTTTTATTTTTATGTCCCCAGCCAAAAAAAAAAGAAGAGTGCTAATTGTCCATAGAATGATCCAATCCCCAATTACCTTCTATCATACGGGCCCCCCTCTAATACATTTCTTACTATTCTTACTTATTTTAACTATTTGACTTTGAAATGAACAGATCGGCCTTCCAAACAAGGAAATTCCTTACAACAGCCCTTTCTTATTCCCCATGGCAATTCACACCTTTTGATTTATTTGTTATTTTTGTTACCATGGAGATTATGTTGACCTTGGTCGAACCTTTGCTGGTTTTGATTTTATATCGTTTGTCCAATGATAGAATATATTTTGCAACTCAAATTTCCGCGCATTATATATTTCACACGATGTTTCAATGTAACCATTCTCACTAAAAGAACAGACATGTTACACACATATTTCCTTATAGCAAGTCATGGTATAAAATATACATGGAACAGCATTTATTTTGAACAACAGGATGGAAACAATGGTTGTCTTCTCCCAAATTAGAAATAGACAATATGCCCAAGAGTATACATGAACTTATAATTAATATACAATGGCATGCAATTCTGTCAATTTTTTTGTCTTTTTCCCCCTGATTTTTTAAAGATATTGAATAAGAATGTCTCTGTATATTGTGTTCAATATTGGGAATCTTGCAATTGGAGACACAGTTGTACAATATTCCTATCACTTCTCCAAATTCCACAAATATAAGCGAAGAGTTTTCGTTAAGTCAAAAATTCATGATTTGACAAAAAAGAGGAACTATGAAATCCCCTTTGCACTTACAGAAACACAAAGCCGTAGATTAGATACAAAGGTGATAAGCATTCCATGTATGTATGGGTTTTATAGAAATAAAGAGAAAAAGTCCATAGGCATAAACAATACCCATCTTTTACCAATGGTTAAAAGCAATCTGCTCAGTCATGTGCATGCATTGCACTCTTTCCCAAAATGAAGGTCGTACACTGCCCAAATTTGAAGCCACAAGCTAATAAAACTGGAATTCCAACCTTCATTGAGATCATTCAGTAAAACAAATATCGTATTCAAATGGGTTCCTTATATAAAGGCGCCAACCTTTCGTAATCTATTGTTTTTCCTTTCTTTGTGCATAATATTTATTTTGAAAGATGAGCAATGGTTTTTCCGTAAGATGGCCATTACTAATCGAATATCCATTGTCAACAGCTAATATCTTACAAGCCCTTTCCATTTGATACGCAATTGTCACTCTATTGGTATAGACAACATTTAATTAGTATTTAAAGAGAAAACCAGGTTATGATACAAGGCAATGCTTTTGAAAGAAATCCGAAAAGCCGCTGTAGATTGTCTGTATTAGCTGTTGGCCTTGTAAAATGGATGATGGCTACTTTTTCTACCAACATTCATAGAGTTGATTGTGCCCAAGAGAAAATACGCAAGTTCACCATAATGAAATGGACTCAATACATGGATTACCCGAGGTTGTGCCGCAGCTGCCATCCATCTTTTTACTGTTTTCATCATATTCCGTTTTCGGATCTTTTCAGAAGACTTGGATGGTGGTGAAACGAGCGCCTCGTCCACGGGTAAATGACTACATGGCTTTTGTATACCATAATAATAATTGATTATTTTGTAAGAAGAAGAAAAAAACAGGATTGTCCGCTGCTATTGAAAAAAACGGTTGCTAGTGAAGGTGCTGTCTCTCTTCTAGGTTACGTTGTCATAGTTTATGGATAAGACTCTTATTTCAGGTAAGGAGCTTGATCACATGTGCTTTAATTTCTAATCAACAAGCTATTTCCGAAAAGATTAGCTCAGAAACTAGTGATAGTATACTTTAAAGCACTGCCTTCAAGTAATTGCTTCTCGCGCGGTAAACTCTGTATTAGGTCATACGCCTGTAACATGTGAAGGCTGTTGTAAGTTCATTGTTTGCAGACGTCTATTAGAATCATGGGATTTCTCAAGTGGCACAGATCGCATCCCTTGTTAAAAGACTCGGCTGTTTTTTTTGTTACTATTGCACATTATTCAGTAAATCTCATTTGATAGAAAGTACATAGGATCATTTCCCAGGGCAATGGTAGGCATAAGAAAGTGTCACAGGAGCTATATATATTTGATAAGCAGCATCATGCTGAAATTATTTACACAGCCATGATACCTGGTTCCTTGTCCATGACATGCTGTCTGTTGATTTTGGTCATCACAGATTTATAAATGAGGGCGTACAACTTTGATAATGGGAAAACAGTGTATGAACAACATGACTCGTCTCTTTTAGAAGCCTCATAGGTTTTCTTTGTTCTCTGTCCTTTTCCTTGGGTATAAAACTTGGATATAACTGCATATGCAAATGTAACTTTTATTACACCAATAAATACATCTTGTACACTTGTTATCAATAATACACAAAGCTATAAAAGTAAGGAGAAAAACCCGGTTGTTAGAAATTTTAATTTAAATTCTAACGTGCTGATCCAGTTCTACCAACATTGTTGCCTGTTCTTGGCTTTTCTCGTCATATTCAACTTAATAATGAGTCCAGCTGTTTACAGAGCGAGAAGAGAAAGGGGAAGGACACAGGGAATGATACAAGCAGCTTCTCTTACACAAATTACGCTTATTCTCCATCAATGAATTACCTTTTATAGAAAAAGTTTATTCTAAGCAAAGGAATGAAACACAATGTGTTATTAAATACAACAGTGTATGCATTGCACTGACCGTACTCATTTATGATAGCAAACTATTATGAAAAATTCGCCCCTCCATTATGCTCAATAATTATATCTCATGAATGCTTTTAAATAAGCTTGTCTTTTTCTGCTGGGGTTACACTGCATCAAGTGTTACATCTACTTTTCTCCAAGTATTCAATAATGATGCATACATTACTACAATAATAGTTACCTTAAAAGCATGACTTTAACTTGCTGGCGAAGTTACTAATAGCACAAATCATTGTAACCTTTGTATTGCAAATCAATAGAGAGTACACGGGTATCTGAAAGCTAAAACTGAGACAGGGGACACAAATAAAAAATGCCAAGGCTGATTACATTAATGATATCTGACATTCAAATAGTTGGTCGATCACGTTGAATGATTTAAAAAACTACCATCTTTGATTACTGATTAGATGCCCCAGCAAATGGGAATTTTCAATGGCCTTACAACTATCCTCTCTCTCTAACTTATTCTCTTACTCTCTTTCTTTTCTCAGTATGTCCATTAGTTGGTTACAATGAAAAACAAGTCCTTCTTCTTCTTCTCCCTCAATGCATCCCAATTAAAGCCTCCTTCTGGATCAAGTTTTCATATCCTGTTTCTCTTTCCTTTCCGAGATATCCCGTTACTAACCTAAATAGAACGCCCAGTTCTGATGCTTGCGGCATAAAGAAACATGTAATAAAACGGGGATCATATTAAATGTAAGGTTTTCAATTTGATCTTGTCGAAGAATAATGGAATTGCAAAATTTAATTTATTCTTAAAAGTACTTCTTCCATGATAAAGAATCTTTTTAAACAATGATATTAAATGAATTTATCCATCTTGTTCTGAAACCTAAGCCAGCATCTCATTCGGTCTTGCGGAGAAGAGGCATCGTCGAGATGTTTTTCTTTTCACCTTAAAGAACAGCTCCGCAATAAGGGGCCCAGGAGCAAGACACAAAATTTTTGGCGCGGGGAATTGCTTTATGACAGTCATGATTTCAGTCGTCCTTGACGACAGTCATCTAAATGTCGGCTTGATTCATGCTGATTCACGTAGCTGCATAATATATACGAGCTGTCAGCAAAGACTCAACTGTTGATCATTTGGATCAGTATAGAGGTCATTACAGAAATGTTTCCTTGACTGTTTAAAAGGCCACTTAAGCTTGTTTTGCAATGATTATTATTCAGAAATCCAGTTTAAATATATAGTAATTAAAATCCTGTACATTAAGTTTATTCATATTATGATATTATATAAGCGTATATTTGTGTATGTATGTATGTAAGTATGTATAAACATGGGGCCATGTGTGGTTATTCCTTGATTAAAGCTTCATCGATACAAAAGTCTTCTTCAACACCACTATCTCCACTATCATACATTAGCTTTTTATGATGTGACAATAAAGGCGAGTGCTCATCAGTGACAATCTCATCTGGCGCTGAGATTGAAGCATCATACAACTGGACCATGCGCTCCATGGCTTCATACCATGTATACTCTGTTGCCTTTTTTACTGCCTCTCCACTCATCCTCTTTAGTAGTTCCTTATCACCAATGACTTTTTCCAGTAGTGCTTGATATCCTTTCTTTTGTTGTTCAAGTGAAAGATTTGAAGTATCTAGCAGTAAGCCGGTTGATCCATGATCAACGAGATCGCGTACACCTTCAGCATTTAACCCCACAACAGGCAGTCCTGATGCCATTGCCTCCAGTACGACCTGACCAAATGTTTCTGTGCTAGAAGGGAAAGCAAAGACATCAGCTGAAGCATAAGCCTCGGCCAGCTCTTTACCCTGGAGATAGCCTGTGAGCGTAACGGGTATATTGGATGACACGCATCGTTTTTCGATATCGTGAAATGATGGACCATGACCGACAAGGACAAGGTGACATGTTGTGTGGTCCATCTGTTGATAAGCATCTAGCACCAAATGTATGTTCTTTTCGTACGAAAGCCTTCCCACATATAGAATCACAATCTTGTCTTTATCTTCAGTCCACTTTGATCGCAACTGATTTGATCTTCTTGATGCTGAAAATAGTGAAATATCCACACCTCGAGGCCAAAGACGCACATGCTCAAATCCGTGTTGATATAGGATGCTTCTTGTGGATGGCGATGGACAGGCGACGTACTGACTAAACGAGTGACAGTAATGATTCCATTTCCACATGATTGAACTGAAAAAGCCGTATCCAAAGTGGTCGCAGTAAACTGCCAAATTGGTATGATAGGATGAAACGATCGGAACGTGTGGCAGATAGTACCGAACGACAGCCAGACCAAACGCGCCGAGAAAGACAGGGTCAACAAAATGGATCACATCAGGTTGGAACTCTAACAACTTTTGGGTCAGTCCTGGTCGCCAAAAGTTTAACTTGAGTTCTGGATAGGCAAAGAACGGTATCCCAAAGGTGCCAACCAGCTCTGCGTTCGCATAGCTCTTCATGTTTGTCTCAGGTCCTAATACAATCGCTTGATGTCCCGTGAGTGATAAGTGCTCTAGTAATCGTGCCAGCGTACGCGTTACGCCATCTACTTTGGGAAAGAAGTTTTCTGTAATGATGGCAATGCGCATAATGTCGAGATTCCCGAAATAAAAAAAAAAAGTTTTGGTTTAAACTGATGTTTATCAAAATAAAAAAGGAAGAAAAATAAAGTTGAGCGAAATTTCATTTTAATATCAAACGATGATCCACATGATGAAAGGTTCAATCGAATTATTATCAGCCATTGGTCTGCTAAGGGTCTGTGCTGCCCTGCTGGGGCGTTCCTTCATTGTTTATCTTTTTATCGTCCATGCGGTCATTTCATTGGTTGGCATGACCAATTTAAAATCCACGTTTCCATATCATCGTTGCTATGAGATCTCTTTACTAAACAAGTAATTTCTTTATTATGTAGAGATCAAAGCCTGGGTTAGAGATGTTGTCATGGAGCTATGATTATAAATGGTTTATTACAATATAAGGTGGCCTTATGAATGATCAGCGACAGCATTATGGATGACAATAAGATTTGGGGTAAAAGGGTCACCAATTGTGGAACCTGCAGAATCGATAGTAGCAAAAAAAGAACCGCTTCATCATAATACTGATTTGACATATCTTGCAGCCATATATATGACTCATTGCAGCTTAATATAAAAAAGGATATTTTTACTTGCTGAGCACTACTTTTTAAGTATTTTCATATCATATCTAGCTCATGCGAACAAGAACCTATGACAGTGATATTGTAGGCACATTATATCTCCTTTGTTGGATCTGTATAATAGAGCCTATAAGCAGAATATTTCTAACCACATGCAAAATACAAAAGATCGCCCACTCATATTGCAGCATTTATTTTCTGTTTTCGATGTCTTTTAAGTAATGTATCTTGGTTAATAACAAGCCAAGGATTGGCTACCCATCCATGGAAATAAGTTATGATATGATTTTAACCTTATTAAACTTTCTTGATAAACCTCTTCCCACTATCAACTGAGGAAACTTGCTTTTATCCATTCTTATTATGTAGGTAATGACTCTGTATAAACTGAGCAGTCATTTTACTTTTGCCTATTTAGAGATAATTAACATTGTTTTGATATAAAAAGAAAGAGAGAAAGAGCAAGGATTACAGAATTATCGTGACTTTTTTATGAATGTACTTTGACCTATTCAATAAAGACCTGTATTATTTATAATGTTGTAAGAGGGAGGTTATGCGTTGAATTGCAACAAAAAACAGTTGTTTGTGTCATGTCCGACATTAGCTTGCATGAAGTTGAGTTAGCTGTTTATTTTAATGTATTCCAAGTATGCATTGATTGTGCTTTACGGTTGAAGAGGAAAAAAAAAAAAAAAGGCGTGTTTATATAGACGATTGTGTCACGACTCGGTTATTTATTATGATTCATCAATGATGCTGCATAGCCTTGCTAAACATGTTTATTTGGGTATATTACTATAGCGAGTATAACAACACGAATGTTTTTATATCGAATATAACGTTATACTCTATGCTTATTAATCATACATTTAAAAAAGAGAAAATGTTTATTTTAAGTACTAAATTATCAGTAGGATCAATAACATGGCATCATGCGTGGCGACCCTTCCGGTCGGAATGGAATAACTATTACGTAAAATTGGACTTTATGCCTAATCTATTAGTCATCTCGTTGCGCTTGAGTTCAACAGTACCCGGAAGATCTTGACACACAGACATTGAATAATTACTTTATTTATACTAGACACATACTCTCTCTCTCTCTCTCTGTCTTTATAGTTTCTAGAAACAGTAGGTTACACATTTGATTACAGGGGGAGAACATTGGGAAAATGCGCAAAAATGTAACTCTTTATAGGCATTATGCTTTAAACAAGCAAAAACAAGGTTAAAGGTTACATTATTTAACTACGCATCTATTCGTTTCTTTAGATGTGCTTACGTTTATAAGCCTCCCTTTTTTTTTACTGCTGCGTTTCAGTTGACGTTTCGAAAATAGCATTTATTTTTTATATATGGAAATTATGAGCTCAGCGCTGTCTTTTATATGCTTTATATTTTGTGTATTTTTTTTTTTCTTTTTTCTATAACCAATATCCTTTCTCTCTCCCTTTTCCTTTTTGTTAAAGAGAAAGTAGCAGAGGAATGTTTGATACACCTCCTGGTACTCTTCATGATTCGTTAAACAAGCTCTTCAATCATCCTAAAGAATACTTGGCGGACGTATGCTTTTGTTTTCCTTCAGCTGAAATATGGGCTCATAGAGGTAAACAAAGGAACACACAATCGAACGCTTCATTGAAAACTAATTTACAATATAAAGCCATTATTTTAGCACGAGCACCAAAAAGCTTCATAGAACGGTACTTACCAGAAATACTGGATGGAACCCATTTGCCTTTAAAGTTGGATATCAGTCATGTCGTTCGTCAAACTTCATTTACCTCTTTACTCCGTTTCTGGTACACTGCTTCTTTTGTATCACCAGACTTGAATGATACATCAGAATTGATACGAAATGAATTGGAAGCACTCAGCATTCAACTAGGCACGCCTCTCTTGCCTTTGCATTCTGACGCCGTACCCGATTCTGTGCAATTAGTCAGTGACTTGAAACGAATGCTGCATGAAGATATGGCGACCGATGTAACCATTCACATTGTATCATCATCTGACGAAGCCAAAAAACCTGACACAGTCATGATTTTATCTACAAGTCCTGATAACCACACATATCCAGTAGATATTCACATTGCCTCTTTCAAGGCTCACAAGTTCCTCTTGGCTGTCCAATCGTCTTATTTTTACTCGCTCTTTTGCACTCAGTTTCAGGAAGCATTGAGTTCAGTCGTTCATTTGACAGACGATCTTTTTAATGCAGCCATTGTTGACACACTCCTCCATTTTTTCTACACAGATAAAGTCATGGTATCCCCACTTCCGTCTGATCCCTCAAAATCAGCATTGCAACGTCGGCTTTTACAAAAGAAGCATGCTCTGAGAGTCATCCAAAAGACATTTTATGCTGCAGACTATCTTGGACACAGTGAGACTCTTGGGAAGGCTCTATTGTATGAAATGCAGGAGTTATGTCATCAGTTCAAGTGCGTATGTCACGAATGCGCAGTCTTGCTTCCCTCCATGTTGGCTTGGTCCGACAAGCACGCAGAAGGACTGCCGCAGCTGAAGCAAGCGCTGGTTCTTCTTTATTGCGATCCTGTGCATTCGCTTCCTTCACTTTGGCCACAGCGTCCCTTTTCGTTTCTTATTGCCTCCTTGGTTCCTTCTGCAGCGACAGTAGGCGAAAATATGCTACAGGCTATGCTCAAACAAGACTCGTTTCTTCGTAGTCGCAAACAGAGAACTATCATCCATGACATCGAAGCACGCACATTCTCAAATGTGACAAAACATAACGCCATTCACGTTCTACACGCTCTTCACCTTTGCTTTTCCCATATTCGCTGCGCTGATCCTTCTCCTTCTTGGTCCCGACCTGCCTTGGATTTAATATACCCCATTCTACACTATACAGTCAGCATGGTGTCTCAGTTCTTTGATTTTTACTGCGTTGAATACCCCATTCTATTGTCCTGCGTGGATGGCATCGGAGCTGGTTTCTCTGTTGACTTTCTTGATTTCCTCTTGTCTCATGTACTGAAAGAAGGCATTCAAGAAACAAACGCAGGCGTTATATATCAAGGTATCGTCCGTTACCTGATCGCACGACAAGAGGTCGTCAAGAATATGGCTATTGACGATGTGTTGTTGAAAGCCAGAAAACGTTGTGCTGCGTACATTGCTCAGCGATGGACCAAGGTCAAGGCCCAAGGCGGCTTCATGAAGCTCGAAAAGACCACGTTACGTCAGTTGTCTGAGGATACCAACGTGCCTTACCGCGCTCTCAGTAAACCGTACGATTCAGATTTTACTACCATCTTCAGCTTCAAGCCACGGAAATTCAAAAAATCATCCTATATCCGTCGACTCTCCATGGTTTCCACAGATCGCGTTCGTCCTCCGACCAGGCCAAGAGCATTCTCTGCCGAATGCGCATTAGGTGATGCTCAACTCCATCTCTTAGAAACGGAGACGAGTAACCGGTTATCGACCACATCATCTTTGCTTGAACAACAGCAACAACGACCGATGCTTCGAACGAGCTCTTCATTCACATCATTGACAGATCAATTGCTTCCTCTGGATCCTCTTCCACCACCTCCTCGATTAGAAGAGCGCCCGAGCCGATTAAAGTTTGAATTGCCCGTGGCACCGGCACGATCTAGATCACCTTCCAAGCCTACATTGACGGCCAAGATGGCAAAAGGAGGACATGGAGGGAAAGGAAGAAGGTCAAGATGGAGTATAGGCAGCAGCGATATAAGTGATGATGATGAATCAGATAATAATGTACTTGGCATAGGCGACAAGATTAAATTACTCAATCGTCCCTTACCGACACTGGGTACCATCAAGTATATTGGACCCGTTGAATTTGCAGAGGGGCCCTATATTGGTGTAGAGCTTGAAAGTAGATGTAAGTCATTATATTATTATTAAATGTGTCAATGACTCAATTTTTATTATAGTGGGCAAGAGTGATGGTTCGGTAGATGGAGTTCGATACTTTTATACTGATCCTCAACGAGCTCTGTTTGTCAGACCCAGTGACCTTGAAATACTTTATCATCAAAAATAAAATGAATTAAGAAAAAACTAGAAAGTTTTTTATTTTGCTTATTAAAGATATATATAAAAAAAAGAGAGAGGTAACCGTATCTTTCTAGGCTTATTCATTTTCTGGAACTGTAGTATCCTTGGTAGCATCAGCTAATGATGAATCGCGTCAATCGTTAACCCCCCTTTTTTTAGTTTTTTCTTTACTTACTATCCTGAATTTCAGCTGTCCAAAGAGTAAGATTGTCTCTTAATAGCTGCATGATAAGGGTGGAGTCTTTATAAGATTCCTCATTTAAGGCATCAAGTTTTGCAATAGAGTTATCAAAGGCATCCTTGGCTAACTGACATGCACGGTCAGGAGAATTATAGATTTCATAGTAAAAGACAGAGAAGTTTAAGGCAAGTCCTAAACGAATAGGGTGTGTTGCGTCCAATTGGGCTTCAGCTACTTCAGTAGCCTTCTTGTAAGCTTCATGAGCATTATCTGCTGCTTGCTGACGTGTCTCGCCTGAAGCATATTCAGCAATATAACGATAATAATCGCCTTGCCTATGTTATGTAAGTCGCACGCGCGCATGATATAAATATTTGTGTACGTTACATTTTGTAATAAAATACTTTAGCCTCACTATCTTTAGCTGTAGGAACAAGATGTGTGGTCAAAAGGTCCAATACGTCATTACAGATACCGTATAATTCCTGTTCGATCTTTTGCTTATACTCTTTAATCTTGGATACCTGAGTTTGGTTTCCTTTGCTCTCCTCCTTTTGTTCAATAGACGAGATGATTCTCCAAGAGGCACGACGTGCGCCAATGACGTTTTTGTATGCGACAGATAAAAGATTACGTTCTTCAACTGATAGGCCATCATTCAACTTTTTTTTATCATCAGTCTTGCTTTTTTTTTTATATATATTTTATCTTTAAAAATATTACCTTGACTACGTCTTTCATAAAGGAAACCATTTCTATTTTATAACGTGAATAAACTATTTTAAAAAGGAATGTTGTAACTTACCATCATATCTCTCAGCTTGTTCGGCAATCTTTGCCATATAAACCTATATAATGTAAGCATTTGTATTATATATGTCAGTGTCAAGTTACTTGAGTATCACGTTCCTAAGATAAGTTATATTAGAGACATTAAAAAAAGAATACCTTCAACTTACAGTGTTTGCCATATTTCAAAATAAATAAATAAAAAAAAAAAAGAAAAAAGAAAGAGAAAAAAAAAGTGGGTGTGCGTGAGAGAGAGAGATAAGCGAGAAGAGTAAATAAGCAAAAAAAAAAAGGAGAAAGGAAAATAAGGGGTTTGTCTAATTCCTTTCATAAAGGGAAAGTCATATGGTGCACAAGGTATTTTTGTTACTTATTCTCTCTCTCTCTTTGTGCTCCTCTTTGGCTTCTCCCTCTTTTGCATCTATTATATTCGATATAAACATCACTGATCCAAGGAGATAAAAAAGAGAGAGGGAGAGGTTTGAGGAGAAAGTCAAGCAAAAAAAAAAGTTTATGCGGGATTAATATTTAGTGCCAAACATGCAGTTAAACAATTATTTAAGTTGAAACATGTATTCTCTAGACCAATCGTTTTAAATTATGCAAAAAAAAAAATCAAAAATATGACTTTATTAAGGTAGCACCTTGTCAGGATTCATGATTCCCTTGGGATCAATTGCATATTTTATCTTTTTCATCACATCAATCGTCTCTTTACCCAATTCTTTTTCTAAATACTTCTTTTTGCCAATACCCACTCCATGTTCTCCAGTGATAGAGCCTTCCATCTGAATGGCTCTTTCAACAAGATTCTTATTCAACCGAACAGCCTCTGCATGTTCTTCTGGTTTGCTTTGATCAAACAAGATAAACACATGAAAGTTTCCGTCACCCACATGTCCGACTAAGGGGCAAGGCAATGGGCTTGTTTCGATATCCTTTTGTGTTTCTTTTATCAACTCAGGCAATCGAGAAACAGGTACGACTACATCTGTTGTCCAAACAGATGCATTTGGCTTGAGCAACGTGGATGACCAAAGTGCAATCTATTAAAACACGCGTATATAAGTATATCATCATTCACATCTGTCCTCTTTACCTTTCTTCCTTCCCACAAGGTCTCCTTTTCCTTTTCATCTTTTGCGTACTTAAATTCACCTCCTTGATGTCGTTTGGCAATGTCCGACACTATTTTAATTTCCTGATCGATGACCATTTGGGATGCTCCTGAGAATTTAAAAAACAAGGTCGGTTTCTCTGCATAACCCAGATCGGGACTAGATAAATTAATGGCCTTCATCATCACTGTATCCAAGAGCTCGACTGCACCCACTTGTACACCAGCTTGAATGATCTCAGGCACAACCGCTGCTGCGTCTCTGATGCTAGGAAAATCACATACAGCAACTGCTTGTACTTGAGGTATGACCGCAAGCTTTAATGTGATCTCGGTGACAACTCCTAGCGTGCCTTCAGCGCCAATGAATAGTTTCGTCAGGTCGTATCCTGCGGATGACTTTCTAGGTCGTTGACGCGTCTTGACAATTTTGCCATCTGGCGTAACAACGGTTAAATTAATAACCCATTCCTTCATCGTGCCATAACGTACTGCGTTTGTTCCCGAGCAGGACGTACCGACCATGCCGCCGATACATGCGCTATTAAAAAAAAGGGGGGGTTAAAAAAGTACACAGGCATTTACTATCTTTTCTTACCCAGGCCCGGGATCCATCGGGAAAAATAAATTGTGTTCTTTCAAGAACAGGTTCAAGTCTTCCCATTGCACTCCAGGTTGTACGACAATATCTAAATCATCTGGGTGAAAAGCAATGATACGGTCCATATGTTCTGTAAATGAGATACAGATACCGCCCCTAGGTGCCGTGAAGTGGCCTTCGAGTGATGTTCCGCCTGAGAATGGGATGATGGGTAGACTATACTTGTCTGCTATTTTCACAATCTCAGCTACTTGTTCCGTATTGGAAGGAAAGACGACAATGTTGGGCGCACCTTCGTCGTGATAAGAGTTGTCGGAATACCCGTGTTCTCGAAGGACTTGTTCGTCTACAGTGACATGTTCAGGTGAAAGAATAGTCTGGAGCTCTTTAAATGCCTTGTGTAGAGTTTGTTGCGTAGGCATTGTGGTCCTTTTCTGGATGACAGGTGTTTTTGGTTCGCTTTTAGATGCTAACCAATATCCTGTTCCGCCAGCGATAAGACTGGTAAGAGCAATCGTAGGCAGTGTTGTTTTTTGTATAGGAGTTGATGATGTTTGGTACAATCTAATACATCTTTGCGTGGGTCGGTATGGTCTGCAGACGAGTCTTCTTGTCCACATACTAAGTAGAAAAAAAAAAGAAAAGAAATGGGCTCGTTATTATTCCACAGTGACCATTTTAAAATATAGCTTGTGGCACCATACTTTGACATTATATGCAGATTGCACAAGTTATCCTAATTGGCAGCCCAATGGACTCTTTTTATTCACAGTAGAGAAAAAAATAACAGCATAATTGATAGCTAGGCTATTTGAGGAAGCTTTGTCCGCTTGGAAATATAAACAATTTCCTGAGAAAATAGAAGAGTTCAAAATAACCAATCATCAGAAAAATAAGAAAATCTACAATGACAGATCTGTGAAAAGGCTACATAGAGAAATGAGAGCTTATTGATTGTGATAAATCAAGTTAGTTTTGGAGAAAGAAAAAAAGAGACTAGCTTGAAGATTTATCTATTTCGATAAACTGACATTGAAAGGGTCAAAATAGAGAAAAAGGAAATTTTCTATTAAAAGTTAATGAGGAGGAGGGGGGGGGGGAGGACAACAATTAAGAAAGAGGGGACAATGGCTAAAAATGCCCTCTTTTTATTATTGGTTATTTAAGACATTTTACTAAAAGAAAAAAAATAAAAATAAAAGCCATTTTAGAGGGGAGAAAAAAACCTTGGTGTGAGTGTGTGGCTGATTTTTGCCAAGTGATATAAATAACTGTTTCACAAGAAAATTGCAGTTTAAATAAATATAAAAAAAAGTACCTGATTGTTTGTTTTTCTCTTTTTTTCTCTCAACAATCAAAATGTATCCTGAAGGGCCAAAACCGGAACATGATCAGTTCCCACTTCAAGATACACAATTCTCGAATCAACCTCCCGTGCATCGCTCACCATTTGAAGACCCTTATCCAGAGGATCAGCCTCACTTTGACAAACAACCTCTATTAACCTCACCTGCTTATCCTCCAACTCAATATCCCACAAGTCCTCCTCCTCCCAATTTCCCTGGTAGTCCAGCCGTTCAACAACCTTATCCTCCATTCAACAATAATCCAAGCCCTGTCAGTCCAGGTGGTCCAGCTTACTTCAATCCTGCTCCACCTTCTCCAAATATGCATTATGGCCAAGCCCCCAGACGTCAACCTCGCCGTTTCAAGACAAGTAAGAATTTTTCTGCTACATATCGAGGACATAAACTAAGATAACACTAATTTTTTTTAATAGCCAGACAAGTCAAATTGACAAAGGGTAATCTCGTCTTGGATTGTCCTGTGCCAACTGCTTATCTAAATGATGTTCCGATCAAGGATGGTAAAGAATTCACACACATGCGATATACAGCAGCAACCTGTGATCCAAAAGATTTTGCAACTGATGGTTATACACTTCGTCAGCCAATGTTGGGAAGAAAAACTGAGTTATTTATCGTACTCACAATGTACAACGTAAGTGACATTAAACTAAAAAAAGGGCTGATGCTAACCTAAATTATACATACAGGAAGACGAAGTTTTATTTGCTCGTACAATGCATGGTGTCATGAAAAATATTGCTCACCTCTGTACAAGAGATCGATCAAGAACGTGGGGACCTAATGGCTGGGAAAAGGTAGTTGTGTGTATCGTGTCTGATGGTCGTAACAAGATCAATCAACGTACGCTTTCCGTTTTGGCTCTCTTGGGTGTATATCAAGACGGTATCGCCAAGAACGTCGTTCACGGTAAACCAGTGACTGCACACATTTACGAATACACAACACAGGTATCAGTTGATCCAAATATGGAAGTGAAAAAGGCAGGCTCAAAGAACGTCGTGCCTTGTCAGATCCTGTTTTGTCTCAAGGAAAAAAATCAGAAAAAGATCAATTCCCATCGTTGGTTCTTTCAAGCATTTGGTCCCGTCATTGACCCTCATATCTGTGTCTTGATTGACGTCGGTACAAAGCCAGGTGGAACATCTATCTATCATCTTTGGAAAGCATTCGATATCAATTCCAACATCGCTGGTGCCTGTGGTGAAATTCGTGCCATGGCTGGTACAGCAGGTGTGGCGCTGTTGAATCCCCTAGTCGCAGCCCAGAACTTTGAATACAAGATGTCTAATATTTTGGATAAGCCTCTTGAATCTGTCTTTGGTTATATTTCTGTCTTGCCTGGTGCCTTCTCAGCTTATCGTTTCAAGGCGCTTCAGAACGACGTGAACGGACATGGACCGCTCGAAAAGTATTTCTTGGGTGAGACACAGCATGGTGGCGATGCAGATATCTTTACGGCCAACATGTATTTGGCTGAAGATCGTATCTTATGTTACGAACTGGTGGCTAAGAAAGAAGCCCATTGGGTATTGCACTACGTCTCAAGCTCTTATGGTGAAACAGATGTACCTGACAAGGTGGATGAATTCATCTCTCAAAGAAGACGTTGGTTGAACGGTTCCTTCTTTGCAGGTGTTTATGCTTTATACCATTGGCGTAAAGTGTGGCAATCTGATCACTCTTACCTTCGTAAGATGATGTTTATGGTCGAAGACATTTACAACACGTACAACTTGATCTTCTCATGGTTCGCCTTGGGTAACTTTTATCTTACCTTCTTTATCTTGACAAAGGCTCTCGGTCACGGTGTCGATGGCTCAACTCTTGCCGATCCACCCTTTAGCCCAGATACAGGAGAAACGCTACACACGATCTTCAATTACATCTATATTATTCTTATTGTCATTCAATTCATTATGGCCTTAGGTAACCGTCCCCAAGGTTCAAAGATTGCCTACACTTCTTCCATGGTTTTCTTTGCCATCTTGATGGTCTACATGATGTTTGCTGCTATCTGGATCACGGTTGTCGGTGTAAAGACGGTAGTCGAGACCTCAGGAGGTCAGTTTATAGAGATGCTGGAACAATCTACATTTAGAAACATCATTATCTCACTCTGCGCAACCTATGTCATGTACTTTGTGTCCAGCTTTATGTTCCTTGACCCATGGCACATGTTTACAAGCTTCATTCAGTACATCCTATTATCTCCTAGTTATACAAACGTGCTCAATATTTACGCTTTCTGTAATACACATGATGTCTCCTGGGGTACCAAGGGTGATAACACGGTTGCTACTGATTTGGGTGTTGTCAAGGCAAAGAAGGACGGTTCAGGTGATTTGGCAGTTGAAGTTGAAGTGCCAGTTGAAGAAAAGGATATCAATGCTGCATTTATTGATGCTCAAGTCGAATTAACCAAAAAGATTGAGCCAGAGAAATCACACCGTGATGCCAAGACGAAACAAGAAGATTATTACCGCTCTTTCCGTACTCGTCTTGTCTTGGCTTGGATCATTTCCAATCTGGCACTTGTCGTTGCTATTGCAAACACTACAGTGATTGATATCAAGGGTAAGGCATCCATCTATCTTGGCTTCATCCTTTGGTCTGTCGCAGGCCTGTCTGTTATTCGATTTACTGGTTCAACTCTCTACTTGATCTTCAAAATCTTTACTGGTTAATCAGGAAAAAAAAAAGAAAAGAAAAGAAAAGCAAGCGTGTAATGATAGCATTTTATATTATATACAGCTCTTTTTGTGTATTTATTATTTAAATAAAAACCATTTGTATACATATTGTCAATAAAACTAGAAAAACAATGAACGCATTATTTCTTTTGAATGTTTTCTAAAGAAGAGGAAGGTTTTGTTATGTTTTGTACACAAAGATACCCCATGAAGAACAGTGAACAGTACTTGATCCGCTCTTTAAGTGAACCTTTTCGTAAAGTGTAGGAAATAAGCTTGCATAACGCATTTAAACTGAAGCAGCCATAAGTGACTGCTTTATGGTTTGTATCATTTTATTAAGAAAATATTTATGCAAGTTGTTCTATGTGTTCTTTGGTATCGTCCTCTTCTTCTACGGGGATAGCGGCATGGTTGTTGTTGTCTATGTCAGTAATAGGAGTAGTAGTCGTGGTAGTTTTTTCTTTTCCAAAAAAGTTGTTATCTACTAAATATCTAAAGCATTGCAAGATCACGCTCTTTTCTTGCATAATGTCCTTTTCCAAAAGCTATTTAATCACAGTCAGAACTGTCTCTTTATATGCATAACTGTTCACCAATACCTTATAAAGCAAGTTGGGTCGCTTCCTTATGACTGTTACTTGCTTGGGTCCATTGGTTGTAGGTCGTTCATGCAAGAAAGTGCATTTACTTCCCTTATTACACCTTCCTTTAATAAAATATATACATTTTCTCTTTGGCTTATTCTCTTCAGGTAATGAAATCTTTCCTATTGATGATGGATCTTTTGAGGTAATGGCATCCTTTTCTGGGTCCATAAGGTCATCATCGTCATTATTATCCTTCTCTTCGTTTGATTGATTGCTCACAGCCTGTCGTTTATTCGGTCCTTGCTGCGAATTGGCTTTACGCTTCAATGGTAACTCTCCTCTTGCCATCTTTTCTGCTTCCTCACGCGTCTAAGTAATAATACCCCCGCTTTGTCAATAGACCAGTCTATTATTTTTATGATTGACACCATACCTTTCGTTCAACATTCGTTTGGCTTGGCCAGTTCTTCTTTCTCTCAGCGATCCATGCTGCAAGCTGTTCTGGTGTGTCTAATTTCGGAGCATTAGGAGGCACAATACCGTCTGGCCTAGATCTATATAAAAAATATTTTAATAGAGTTCCTCTCTTTTTTTTTTTTCAGAGCTACTTACTGTTTCTTTGTGCTTGGTTTTCCATGATATTGTTCTTCATGCTCTTCCAAGAATGACTTTAAGCACATAAAGTCACATTGTGGACATTTGATATGTAAACTCTCATGTTGTGCAATGGCTTGTACACTCTTTAGTATTCTATTGCAACAATATTTGCTCCTACAGTAACATGAGTAAAGAAGACAAGTTATAGTTTTAATCAACTTACATTGGTCGGGTGTCTGCAGCAGGATTATTAAAAGTGTTTGCAGAGTTCTTTACTGATTTATTATTGTATTTAATAGGTCTTTGAAAAGGTTGTTGTTGTTGTTGAGGATAATAGTGTCCATAATAGTTCCAATGTGTTAAATTCTGGTGTTGATCATAGTTTCCATAAGTATTAGTAGGATTAACAGCCTGTTGGTTATTATATGCTTCTAATTGTTGATAATATTGGTTATTTTGTTGGTAATAATAATCATAGTTTGGGTATGGTTGGTTTGAGTATTGTGTATTTGGATCTCCATAAACTGGATAATAAGCATTATTATAGCCTTGTTGTTGTTGTTGTTGTGTATATTGATTATAATTGTTGTTCATTTTGACAACAAAAGAAAAAAAAAAAAAAAAAAAAAAAAAAGACTGTCTTTTCTTTACTGGATTTTTCAAACCCACCAAATATGCACACTTTCTTTGTTTCTTTCTATCAGAATGGCATTTTTAATTTAAAAAAAAGTGTTATTTATAGTTTTTCTTGGTAGCCTCCTTTGTTTTTTTTATCATTGGACCTGAATTAAGGAGAACCTATTTTTTGTTTCTGTATTTTCTTCTTATTGACAAAAGGGACCTCAGGCATATGATTTCATTTCCTTTCTCTTTTCTTCTCATTATGCGTCCACCTACTCCTTCGATATCACTCGATTTCACTAAAACACACGGTACTTTATTATTTCCAAAACTGCCTCCACCTTCACCTACTCAAGCACACATTGATATCATTCGCTATACCTGGGAACACTTGTGTGGCATTCGACTTGACCATGATGACCCAACCATATCCCCTTCTCATGCATTCGGACTGGCATTTTATAATGCCTTGTTTGAATCTGATTCAACATTACGTTTCTTATTTACTAATATCGTTCAACAAGCCAGAGCATTTGCAGGGTTCATATCCTATCTCGCTCGTATGCCCACTCAATCCAATATACGTGAAATGAATGCTCTTAAAAGAAAAGGTGTGGGTGCACTGACCTTTCCTGAATTGGTAACAGAAGTCAGTAACACGGAGCATGAACCAGTCACAGAAGATTTCAGGTATCAACTGCAAGAGCTTGGTGCAAGGCATTACTATTATGGCGTCAATGCGGATCATTTTGACAGTATCGGTCGAGCATTGATGAAGGCGTTGAAGGAAAGGCTAGGAAAAGAGTTTTTACCAGAAATAGAAGAGGCGTGGAAAAGGGTATTTATATTGTTATTTAAACATTGTATATTAAATCCCCCTTTTTTATTAGTCTTATGCTTATTCTGCATATTATATGAAGATTGGGTTAGAATCAGCACAAGATGAGTGGAGACAACATAGAAATGAGTCAATGCAAACGAAGCAAAGTTGTACAATTCAATAATAAATAAATTGTTCCCCATTTTTATTCTATTTTATATATTTATATATATATCTATTCTCTTTGAATGACAATAGCAGAGGCTGCACCACCGCCATTACAGACAGCAGCAGCACCATATTCGCCTGATTTCAAGAGATGGGTCAAGGTGACAATGATGCGAGAACCAGAAGAACTACAAGAGAATAATTAATTGAAAACACAACAAACATCAGTTCTGACTTACCCAATGGCATGACCGAGGGCAACGGCGCCACCAGCCACGTTCACCTTGCTAGGGTCCAATTCCATAAGCTAATGTACGGATGAGTTAACGTCCAGGTATTCTTTTTTTTTTTTTCATGGTCTTACCTGTTCATTCACACGAGCAACAACACTAAAAGCCTCATTTAATTCAAACTTGCTGATATCATCCTTCTTTAATCCTGCTTTTTCAAGAGCAACAGGTAAGGCCAAAGCGGGGGCAATGGTGAAATCAATAGGCTTAGTAGCAGCATCAGCATAAGAGATAATACGAGCTAATGGCTTCACGCCCAAAGCTTCTGCCTTGGCACGGGACATCAGAACAAGAGCAGAGGCACCGTCGTTCAATGTACTGGCATTAGCAGCAGTCACCGTACCATCCTTCTTGAAGACAGGACGAAGAGTCTTGATTCTGTCAAAGTTTACGTTGGTATATTCTTCATCAATCTTGACCACAGTCTCTCCCTTTCTGCTCTTGACGGTAACAGGTGCAATTTCATTTTCAAAGACACCACTCTATAAAGTATTACATATCAGCATGAAGCGTTTTTTTTTTTTTTTTTACCTCCCAAGCCTTGGCAGCACGTCTATAAGATTCAATTGCATGCTCATCCTGTTGTTCTCTTGTGATGTTGTAATTGGTGGCAGTATTTTCAGCACATCCACCCTATATTTATATGTAAGCCTTCGTTTTATCATTATTATTATTTAAAGACGTACCATATGAATGTTATTATAGGCATCCCAAAGACCATCCTTGACGATTGCATCATTCAATTGTTGATGTCCATATGCAGCATTACGAGGGGCATAATAGCTAATTCAACCGGAGTTTCATTAGTCATTTTCATGTGCTTTCAGGTCCGGGTGAAACTTACGGAGCATTGGACATGCTTTCCATGCCACCAGCGACCATCACAGAACGGTCACCGTTTTTGATAGCCTGGGTGGCAAGCATAACTGCCTTCATACCTGAGGCACAGACCTTGTTGATCGTCGTTGCCTCGGTTGATTCAGGACAGCCTGCACCAAGAACAGCTTGACGAGCAGGGGACTGACCAAGGTTGGCTTGAAGGACATTACCGATGTATGCTTCCTCAATATCACTGGGCGAGATACCTATTTTTTTTATAAATGGTTGATAACTGTCTATTGTATGTGTAGAGATATCATATATACCTGCTCTTTCGATAGCAGCTCTGACAGCAATAGAACCGAGTTGCGTAGCAGAAAGAGATTTCAAAGAACCTCCAAAACAACCCACTGGTGTTCTAACAGCACTGGCGATCACAACGTCCTGTTAAGGGTCTTAGTAACATGTCATTTTTATAATGCGAATATACACAAACATTAGGACTTTTGGTAGCAGTAGCAAAGGTACGAATAAGCTAAAGATATACATGAATGATTTATTATACTTGGCCTTTGTTTAAACCATTGACTTTACTGTTTTACGAGTGAATTGACGAGAAGCAAACATGTTGGGCAGAAAGAAGAAAAACAAAGAAAAAAAAAAGATTGATTTTTATGTAAAAGATATTTCCCACGAATGCAATTAAATAACCGCTCCTTGTCTCTTTAAGAGACAGGCAAGCCTTGAGGTTCAACAAGCAACTTCTGCAACCAATAGAATACTATTTCCCACACTTTACTCTTGGGCTCTCCTGATGCAGATGCAGCAGCCACCAGGGCTTGCTCGATGCTACCACCCTGACTGTCCAGTAAGAAGGTAGACGTGATGATACCAAAGAAATAGACAAGAACTGTGTAAAGTGCAAATGTCACCGTATTCGTTACTATCTTGTCATCTTTACGACTTAGCACTCTCTGTTGAGGATGAATCACTATGGCTGTCTCATTTATAAAAGGGTTTGAGCTTATACTCTATACAGGTGTCAATCTAAATGTTGCTATACTGTTTTGCTATATACCTCATGATAATCATGCACCATCCTCTTCTTTCGTTTATGATTTGTGCGGCGAGTGATTCGAGATTGAGACCAGATATCGTCTTGTTGAATATCTATCACAGTCGCAACTTGGTTGCTCTTGAGCTTGAATTCTGTCAATTCATGAACAAGTGATCGGTTCTCATCGCTTAGTTCCTTTTTGAGATACTCCAACTCATTTTGAACTCGGTCAAGGCCCTCTTTTGCTTCGGTGGCAATTGACTTGTAAAAGTCTTTTTCGTCTTGAACTGTCTTTAATTGATCTAGTTCAGCATTTAATGTCTATATGAAGCAAAAGTTGAATTAAAGTCGCAAGTTGACATATATGTATTTCATACCTTGACAGAGGCATTAGATTGTCTTCTACCCATTGCAAAGTTGAGTTCGCTTTCATTGGAGAGTAAAAGAGCTTCATCCAAGTCTGTCTTTAACGTATCAATGATCTCTTTTAGCTTTTCATTTTCTGACTTTTGTTCTGCCAATTGCTGATGAGCCTTTACTGACACTTCCAGCTCCTGCTCAAGATCGTTCTGCAGTTCAATCAATCGTTTTCTTTCTTTACTTAGGTTCTGAACCTCTTGCTGGAAATTACAGAGTAAACTTTCTGTCTTTTCAAGGTCTGCTTCTTTTTGTTTTAATAGCTCCTGTAACTGTTGAGTCTCGCCTAGATACAAAAAGTAAGTTCAAATCATATATATACATATGGATCTAACTTACGGCATTTTTCATCAAATAGTAGCTTGATAGACATGTACACTTGCTTTTGATCTGTCTCAGAACGCTGTATTTGAGAGATGTGGGATTCGAGCTAAATAATAAAGTTATTAAGTCGTTACATGGCCTCGTTTATCATCTAGTTTTACATAAGAAAGCTTACTGCACTTATTTGTTCAAGACTCTTTTGTTCCTTTCCCTTGTATTCTTGAATCTCTTTTCTTTGCTTGACAACTTCTTGGTGCATGTCTTCTACCCTGTTTTGTAATTGTACGATACGGTCTTCATTATCACGTGCCATCGAAGCTAAACTTTTTTCAGAAGATCTTAGTCGGTTGGTGAGTGCAAGTGATCGTTGATAGTATCTTGCCAAGTCTTGAGTCGAATGCTACATATATGTGTATGCTTTAGTTTTAAGTAAAGATTATTTTATATCTATAGTTTACTTGGCTATCACTCTCATCGTCGGTTGGTATGGCATTAATCTCATTGGTATTATTATTACTGTTGTTATTAGTCGTACTATTATTGTTGTTGTTCACTTCTTCTTCTTCTTCTTCCTCGTCATGTTTAAATTGAATCAGACTCTTCTAAAAGAATATCAATATCAAATCTATATCCATAACACGAGTATTTACTCTGAGTTCTTCATGTTCAAGACGATTATTATTTGCAAACGATGCTCTTCTTTTCTTCCAAGGCATTGATTTATTTGAACTTAAAGGAGGAGATAGTCTCGGTCTACTATCCAATAACATTCTTGAAGAAGTCGGTGCTGAGATGGATACTTGAGGACAAGTACATACAATCTTGAGTAGATTCAAGATATCATCTGGTGTCATTTCTAAATCGGGATTGCTTGAAGTATAGGGCAAAATAGCCTTCTTTTGTTCGTCTGTCAAGAGGAGGATATCGTTACTTTCTTCGAACCGACCAATTAATGTAATTAAATCTCTTGTAAATATGACTCCCTTGCCCGTTTTATCATATTGCTCAACTAACTTTTTAAGCTGTACTTTTAACACTGCAAAGGGCATAGGTCGCTACATATTTGTTGTTAAGGGCATTATGCACCAGCAGACAATAGAGACATACCTTTTTGTTTATAGCTTCCATTGAATGATTTTATATAATAGCGAAAATACAGCTTGTATTTGTATTAGCGCTATATATAGGATATAATAAATATATAAAAAAAGAGAGAGAAAAAGAAGAAGAAAGGACCTCAATTCTATAGCGTGAAAAAAGGAGAAAAAAGTCACCTCTATTGCCTAGTGTAACCATGTTCATACTTTTCACTATTATGGAAAAAGATAATTTATTTTGATGGAATATGGTTTAGCTTGCTTATGAGAGCTTGTCCTCTTGATCGATTCTTGTTATTTAAATACTCGAATATATCATCTTGAAGGACATGATGACCATAACCGATAAGATCAGCCAATGAACATCCAGTTACTTCATCTAGCTTATGAGTATCTGATCCATACTGAAATAAAAGCTCGGCCATAGTAAAGTCATGATGATATAATGCAAGATGTATCGGGTACCTGATCACATAATACTCTTTCTTGGTCTTGGGTGCTGATTGCGGCGGAATAGATATATCAATCACCTTATCAGGATAAGGATTACCTTGCACATCCAAGACAGGCAGACGTAAGAAAACATTGGAAGATGGTACAAGTGACACAGGGTTGGATAGCATGTCCACTGGATAAGGGTCATTTACATCAGCTCCATGTGCAATAGCTTCTAATGCCTTTAACACATTTTTACTTTCAAGTGCTTCTAGCAGTTGCATAGATGGAGCACCTTCACTGGGTTTCATGAACCTCTTTTGAACATACTTTGCATAAATAAATTGGTGTCTTGTCTCCTTATCCGTATTCCACTCTGGTTTGTTCTCTGGCTTCAATGCTTCCCAGATACTGTTGGCATTTTGGTTTCCGATCAGGAGCATCAACTGGCTCACCTGCGGTGTAAACAGGTCGAGGGTAAGCGATCGAACTTTGGAAATATGTGTACCAAGACTACGGTGAACCCCAGAGCATTCTATAATAAAATATCATGGCTCATTTCTTTTATGGTAAATATCATCTAGATATGTTTATGCTACGCCCCTGTTGTATTTACCTATGCAAATCACAACACCCAAATTGATCGAACACCACTCTGGGTTCTCAGCTGAACAATCAGCACATGCTTTATTCAATGGATCCCTTTGTCGTATCTCTTCCAAGAACTCATAGGAAGGTGAGAGTGATACCTCTTCTTGAGAGACACTTTTTTTTGATTTTCTTTTGCCCTTGAAGGGTTGTTTCCAATTTTTGCCTTTGGTAAAGTCCATGTTTATTTCAATTACACACATAATCATTTTTTATATAGTAGACACATTCTTTGTGACTTCAAATTGTTTACTTAAAAACTATACTTTAAATGACCCTTTTTCTCTATAGTCTATACATTCATCTTTATTTAGTTATGCCCAACTCGTGTTCAAATGCTGAAATGGTTGCTTCATCTGCACTGTGTTTCAAAACATCATCACTTAATTTTATCACGCGTTTTCCTATACACTCTTTAATCTTGATCACAATGTTCAAAGGCTTGCTCTTTGTCTTTCCATCACTCGCCTTTTTAAAGTCATTTGTGAGCGATGTTCCGATACCAAAGCTAGGCTTGATACCCAGCTTCTTTGCATGGTCATATAGAGCAATAGCTCTTTCCACATTGAGAGAATCAGAGAATACAATCGTCTTTGTGCTAGGATCAATCCCAATGGACTTGTAGTGATTCACCATGGTCTCTGTAAATTGCATAGGATCACCCGAATCATGACGTACACCGGTATACACACTTGCCAAGTCATATTGGAAATCCTTCAAGAAGATAGGGGTTGTGAACGTATCTGTCAATGCGATGCCAAGTGCTCCCTTGTACACCTTGTGCCATATGTCAAGTGTTTCACGATTAGCGTGCTGAACATTTTCAAGAGCAGAAACGGCCATGAAGAACTCATGAGCTAAAATGAATGAGTAAAACAGAAAATAATAATAATAAGCAACTTACCAACAGTACCAATCGCATTCATTGCGTATTTCATAGCAAAGTATACATTACTTGTACCTGTCAATAGACCCTTGACCTCCTTTCCTTCCTGTAGACAGTTGGTTTTGTAAGTTTCAAAGGTTTCCTTTAATGCGCGTATGACCGTATCCTGCGTTTTGAAGTCACGTCGTCGACGCGTACCAAACTCTGCAAATGCACAACCATGTTCCAACAAGGCGCGTGTCTTTTCGGCTGCATGCTCGTATTGACCGTCATAGTTCCAGTCCTTGTCAACAAAACGGAAATAAGCTTCAGAAATGAGAGCCAGTAAAGGAACTTCATAAAGAATTGTCTCATGCCAATTGCCAACCACTTCTAGTTCAAGGTCATTGGTTGTCTTGTCAAATTTGAGTTTCACTTGTTCCTTTGGTTTGTAGCGAAATTGATATAAAAAGTCGATATAGTCTTGTTGAAAGTAAGGATAGCCTGACAAGTATTCACGTTCTGCATCTGTCAATCGAAGATTCTCCAGGTCTATTTTGAGGAAATGGTAAGCATAAGAGCAAAAATTATTATAAAAGAAGCTTACCATCGATTTGCTTCTGAAGCCAGTCAACAGCTTCAGCGTTCAGTTGAAGTTGCTTCTCTCTGTTTGTAAACTGATACACAACGGGAATATCTCTCTTGTAATAAGTAAAGACAGCGTTCTGCATGGTGAACTTGTAGAGGTCATTGTCAAGAATGGAAGGAAATATTTGATGAGTCATTTCGAACTTGTATAATAAAAGTGACAAAAGGACCCTTTACACTCTTTTTATACTTTTTTTTAATTTGTAAAAAGACGTAATTTGCCTGTCACATCCTGCATAAAATGACATCGCAGCCTATCTGAAATCGAATTCATCATTACTCTCAAAGCAGGGTCCAAAAGAATATGTATAGAAAAAAGAGGGTAGCAGTAAAGGTGAATAAGTTCTTTTCTTCCTTTTGACCAGATAGAATATGCACGTCCTGACGCTAAATCTAGCTTTTGATAGATCAGATAACAATGATGTAAAACAAATCTATTAAAGAAAGAGAGAACTTTATTTGTTTAATAATATAATCTTTGTTGTTGTCTAAAAGTGTGTGCGGCCATACAATCAAAATTTGGTAACAGGTCCATCTGTACGTGGACTAATGTATAAAGCTGTTGCTTCTGTCAAGAGAACATGATCAAGCGATTCAATCGATGCTTTCCCCCATGCTTTACGACCTTCCAATTTTTCAAGCTTGCCCTTGATAATGACCCACTGATTGGCAATGATCGGTTTACGATAATCAACATTCAGATTGGCTGTGAAACCTGTCAGATTGGGTAAATTGGGTATAGTCTATGTTGATACATTAAAATATTATTTTTTATACAAATTCTGTTTTCTTACCACATAAGCAAGCATTTCATCTAGAATGGTAGCAGCAAGACCACCATGAATAATACCATCATGACCACATCTACTGATATGTTACTATAAGCGATAAATAAAGTACACATGTCTTACAGCTTGATGCCAAAATGGGCTACCATGACACATTCCGTCTTATCTTTGTTGTAAAATTTTAAAGGAAGTCTACCGATCATACCTTCTCCTCTCAAGGTAGTCGCTGTCAATGAGTGAGACTTGGCTGAAGAAGACATATGCTCATAAGCTATAACTTCTTCCCATTCTTCAGACGAACGAAGGTTTTGAACATAATCAATCGAGTTTTCTTGTTGGATCAATTCGTCATGCTTGATAATCTCATGTTCCTTTGTCATCTTTTCTCACTTATACACACACTCAATTGTATACACACACAAAGGGGGAAACAAAAAACTTTGGGGGAAGGGGGGTGAATGAAATAGTGTCGGTTTGTAAATTGGCTGAATTTAAATGTCTTTATTCCCATTTGGATCCTCGTCCTTCAAACTCAATTCGACATAGCCCCGCAGAACCGGCAGAGGCGATAAATCCTGCCGTCCTCCTGTTGGGGTTCCACACCGCCTATTTATTTGTATGCGTGAGAATAAACGTCATGAGCATTGATCTATAGTTACCCTTTGAAGAGACACTTCTCCTACAGTGAAAAGCTCATATTGTGGGGTCTTTGCGATCTCTTCCTGTGACTATAATACATTTTAATATGAGTAGAGTAAATATTAGAATATCTTACTTTAAATCCTATGCCATCAGCATATACATAGGTGTTTGTTTCTTCGCTGTAGCAAAGTTTATAAATATAGTAATGATAGAGACTCTATCATACAGGCTGATTAGTCTATAAAAACATTTATCAAAGGATTACCAACTTACCGCCACTCTTCCTTTATATTGATACATATTAGCTGATGCAAGCCAACCAGTGGCAGTGGCCATAAGAAATTGGCCATGATGGTCTGATGTACCCAAGTACCAACATGGACCAGGCAAATTTCCATACTTTGTCAAGCAAGGAGTAAGGCCTGGATAGTATGTCATGCCACGAACTGAGTCTTCACTACCTGCAACCAACAGCATGGGAGCATGACCTACCCAACATGCCGCATAGACAGGGCCTATATTTTTGTAAGGGCACACAGACCGTAATGTACAAAGACTACGTTACCTCTAGACCTCATAAACGTAAAAGGGATACATGGATCACGTATATCAATCATTTGTATTCGTCCATCAAATCCACAAACGATGATGTGGTATGGATCTTCCTGGCCTCTCCAGGTGATGCATTTTGAAGGGGAATCCAGGACAACATATGAGAAAATCAAGTGTTGTCCGTAGCGTGTGGTTGGTTGAGTCAAGGCAGACTCCATGTTCCATATACTAACATCATTACCTGTTCCACCTGAAGCAAGTTTTTTATGTCCACCCCACTGAATGGTCAACGGTTTTGAATTCGTGGCGGCAAACGTGCATCGACTCGATTTGACACGTACTTTTTTTAATTTAATAAATCAGTATGTATCAAATTCTCTGTGTGTTTTTTACGCCTTTCTTTTTTTTTTTTACCTCAACTTACGATATACCGTGTTATGATTCAAATTTAAGCTCTTTCTGAGCGCGTCAGGGTGTGGCACAACCAAGGTTCTGATCGTACCATCTCCACAAGCCATGGCTAATATACCTAGTTTGGGTAATCCATTTCCTGTGTCTTCGAGCACCTGTAATTTGTACATGAGTACAAGCAAAACATAATCATTCTCTCATTACCTCTTCATAGACACCATAAGGACACCACTTGAGGTCGTACACAGCACCAAAATCATGCAGAATGCACACATCCAAAAGTGGCTCTTCTGGTTCTTGCTTCACCGATAACTTGAGCTTCCAAAGCTGAACACAGTTCTTATATGTCCCTGTTGGTTGATATTCATTCAATCCGATGCGTTCCTCAGAAGCGCCCCTGTAGCCAGCAACAGCAAGATACTGAATAAAGGGACTCGTGTCCCTGGATTCTACTTTGGGCACGAAATCTAAGCCCCATGTGTTTCCTCCTGTGTTGAGCACGTAGCCTTTTTTATATTTAAAGTGGTTTGCTACAGAAGAATAATTGGATCAACAGATAATAGAAAAGAGAGAGTCTTACCAAGTTGAATGGAGCCAAATAAATCGATTCGAACTGTCGTCTTTTCTTCAGTGCCTACCTTGACGTTGACAGGCTCTGTCCTTGCTGGTAAATAAGGAACGGCGTCACTAAAGATAAAGTTTAAGATATCTATATACCCAACATACAGGATGTATGAAGGTCATTACCTTTCTTCTAGGACCTCCCATTCATCAAGTTGAGCATAAATGTCTTGATAGACAATTTTGTTTTGAATGGCTGAAATGTCAAAGAGATGATCTACCGTAGGCCCTTCAAGATCAAATTCCATGCCAGGCACAGACGAAGTAAAGACTGTACCGCCTTTTCTCTTTCCCATACTTTAGGCTGTTTTGTTAAAGAAGAGGAAGGAAGAGAAACAAGTACATTTTTGACGCATAATTTTTTTTTCACGGTCACGTAAAGATACATGCATCTTTTAAAAAAAAAAGAAAAAGAAAAGTATTGACCATCATAACAAAGCGCAAAAGACATGATCCCTTTTATGCATTCTTTTGATTTGGTTTAATGTGACTCAACAAGTGTCAGTGTGTGTGTGTGTGTGTCTGTAAAGAGGTTCATTTGAACAAATTCTCTGTGTGACTCTCTAATTTTCTCTCTCTCTTTCCTTTTCTTTTTTTTTTTCTCTTTTCTTTGACGGCACATTCATGCAACCACAGTCACTTTACTCTCACAGTGTAAACCCTGTTCACTTGTTAGAGATCCAAGTCCTATCACAAGTGGTACATCAATTACAGAGCAAGAATGATATCCGGGGATCGATACCTTATTTAGCCAAGATTGTTCAAATCATTGACAATCAAAGACTAGAGAAGACAAACAACAGGGACCTCTACTTCCGTCAGCTGAACGAATATCGTAAGGTACAGTCAAGGGCTCATTTTGACTTGGCAGAAGCTTATTTCAAGATCCATGATTTTATACTGAGTGAAGCATCGTTTTCTATTGCGGTCAAAAACTGGGAAAAACTGATGGAACATGAGGAACAGGTTGAAGTCAAAGAACTTTTAAGCAAGTCTTATGATTATTTAAAAACCTGCTACGAAGCCATGGGAAAAGACCAATTGGCGTATTTTATAGGTGTTAAAAAGAATAAACTAATGCAAGCATAAAAACAATCTGTTTATTATTAAAACTATGTCAAGCGCTCAGCGTTTTCACGATTTTTGCGTTGAAGACGAGACACTCTTGGCTTACGGCCACCGTGAACACTGCGATAGAGTTTTTCACCCCAGTTGAAGCATTCCTCACACGCCACCTTCTTGTGTTCCATGCAGCCAGGTTTACCTTTCTCAACCCTGGTCCACTTGTGAGCCACGGAGAGAGGCTCTCGATCATCACCTTTCCATTTATTAGTGTATTCTTCTTCAGTCATCTTTTCATGTAGCATGTCTTCAACTATCATGTTATTCGCCGGACGATTGTCTGTAGGACATTTATCACAGACCTCCAAACCATGACGCGTGCAAAAGATAAAGCCATTGATGGTAACAGAGTAAGAGTCTACGGTATTATTCAAATCTTCTTGTTCAGGGAATTGTGAGTCCATGTTTGATAATAATAAAAGAAGAGAAAAAAAAGTGGGTAACTGAATATCCCTTTTATAGTTTTATTCAATTTAATCACACCACCACTTTTTCCCTTTTGCATGAATTTTTTTTTTGTTTGGTTTTCCCTTTTACTTCCCATGAGAAATAAGATGCATTCTTTTTGTTTATCCAAAGAAGAGTGAAACCTTTGCTGGGCCAAACTTTACCTTGACTCTTCTTTCATTCAATTCATCTTTCTCAGAGGACGTTCCCCCCAGTTTATTTTATAATTAACTCAGGTGATCTCATTTCATTTAATGAAGTGCTTTGTGTGAGTTTTATTTTCAAAGTAAAAACGACACGTTATTGCCAAATGATGACCATCGTAAAAAAAAAGTTGTTCATCAAAGCATAAGATGGCTCCTCAGGGGTTTTTTTTCTTTATTGAACAGTATAAATCATAGGTACCCACGCACGCTTACACACATATATATACACACACACAAGATGATGTAGCAAATAGGAACCGGGCGCTCCCTTTCTTGTATTGGTGTAAACTTTATTGTCAATGCAACTTCCCATATCCTGCTTTCCACGGCCAATAGCAGTCTTTATTATTCAATAGCCGATTAAAATAATCCAATGAATATGTTTTATTTCCTCCATTCGCATTTTGACCAACAAACTAATGTCTTTGACACAAAAAGTATCCATCCTTGGTCAATTTAACATCCTTTTCCTCGCACATTTGACGACTAAATCCAATTACAAATCCTTGTCAACATTACATAATGAGCCTGATTCTTCCAGACAGGTTATGCATGATTGTTTAGTATAAACTACTTGCTAAATGGCAACGCTTTCAGATCATTCCTTTTTTTTGACTATTCATACTCTCCCTCTCTTTTTGAAAAAGCCTACTGTACAGTCTTTTCAGAAAATAAAATCGCATTTTTTCAATTTTTATAATACAATTTATACGAAAAAGCGACAAGCCAGCGCGACACCTCTTTCTGGAAATGGTGTATACTCAGCCAAGAAAAGAAAAATAACCTCACAAAAGTAGTTTCGTGAAACTCCATTGTGTATTTGAGTGACCCAGATTTAAATATCCATATACTTTTTATGACATTCTAAGCTATTATTACAATATAACCAAATATACTTGGCATTATCGTTCCTTCTTTATTAAAACCAAAGCTCAATGTGAGCGTGGTAAAACGACGACTGTGAGGTCATGCTATGTACACCTTTATCTAAAAGTTTTGCATAAAAGAACTCTCCAAAAAAAGAAAAGGGCGGAAATTCTTTATAAAAAGGATCAAATTACTATTATAAAGTCAATACAAATACATAATAACTACACAAGTCGCGTTTCATTAGGTCTCATGTGGTTTGTTGTTAGGATGAACTTCGTCAGGCTTCTGATACGTCGTTTCGGGTTTTTGGTAATTGGGTGCGGACATGGAGGAGAGGAGTAACAAGGTAGGATCATTCACGGTGAGTCCTCCAGATGAAGTTTCACTTGGTAACATTGTCTTGCCATGCATTAAAGGATCTGCGTTATAAGGTGCAGTGCTGGTTGTCATTTGTGGAGAGAGAGATGCTTCCGTGTTGGTTGTGTAATCGTGTGCAGATTCAATATTAGATGAATGTTGTTGTGAATAATACGAATGTGTTTGTTGCATTTGTTGTTGAGGGCCAGAATAAGGTGGTAAGAACGAAGGTGTGTATTGTCCTTCAGGCCCGGTCATGAAAGGCTGCTGACTCATTTGAATGGCTGTCGAATCAGGACCTGAAAATTCGTCCTTTTGTGGAACAGGCATAGACATGTATTGTTGTTGATTATTATTGTTATTGTTATTGTTATCTTGGCTATCAGCACTTTTCTTGTTCTTCTTCTTTCTTCGTAAAAGGAGCTATATAGATCATGAGTATTAAAAAAAAAAAAAGCAGCACGCTTACAATAAGAGCAGCTATGGCTCCAATCACGACAACAGCTCCGCCAACAGCAATACCAGCTATAGCTCCAGTTGACAATGAAGAACCTGAAGGTTCTGGAAAGAATGTCTCTCGTGGAGTACCGGTGGATTTTGGGGTGCCTGAGGATCGAGTGTTTCCAGAAGCGGAGGACGTAGGACGTATAGAAGCAGTGGCTCCACTGACAATGTATGATGTAGTTGGTTCAATCATGCTTTGACTATATAGAATGAAGGGGCCCAAAGTGGCATATTGAGAAGGATTTTGATAACCAACAAAATAGTAATTGATACCAGGCGTGGCTGATTCTGGTATGTTTAGCATGGCTGTAGGCAGTACGTTTGTAGGCAAATTGTCCCAGGTATACAATCCGGATAGACTACCATCCGGATTTTGAACAGCAAGCTTTATAGTCACAGGCAGAGAGTAATCATAATCTGACCAGCTCACAAAGGCTGTTCCTCCAACTTGTACAGGTATCTTAAACTGAAACCATGAAAGACTGAATGCAGTTACTGAATGAACGATCAAGCATAACTGCACTAAACGCTTCACTACACCCATCATCGCTCCAAGGGAAGAAAGAAAATAAAAAATAAAAAAAAGGAAATAAAGAGTGTGGATAAATCAAGGCTTGAATAGTTTAGAGAAGAAATGGTGTAGGCTCCATTGTGCGACTGATTGCTGATGTGTGACCTTCAACAGCTCTTTTTGTAACTTTAGTTAATTCTTCCATCTCTTTTTCTTTGGATTATTTCCCACTATAATCTTGTAGTCTTGATCATATACGATACATCGCTTCCTTAGATCATCTTAATGGGGCTATAAAAGTGCCACAGTCCATTATGTATCTAGGGAGAGAAAAAAAGGAAGGGGAGATCAACTACTCTCTCTGGTGATTCAGTTAATAGACGTGCGCGGAGTGTTCATTGCGCCACGAACAAGTGTTGCACAAGATAAATTATCAATTTTACTTATGTTCTTTTTCTTTTTTTTGATCTCGAGATCGAATAGGTTATATTTACAAGCTTTTTTTTAAAGCCAAGTATAATCAATAAAAAGAGACAAATCATTAGAGTTTTTGATGATGCCCTTGCTTTGTCAATGATTCATTCATTTCAAACTTTTCTGCCAGACTTTGTACAATCTCTTCTTTATTGCCCGTTGTTGAAGGG